TGTCTGCATTTAGAGGTTTAGCACAGTCTGTAATAACTCTTAAAATCTTGGTGTGTTCCTTCTGTATTCTGTGTGCTTTCCACTAGAAATACAGTCCTTTTAAAAGTGACAGGTGGTATAAACAAATGAACAGTGTATTAAGTAGAAGCTTCAGTCTGTAGTAAAAATTTTAAAATGACACCTAATGCTCACTTTGAATAAAGCTTGAAAGACGGGGAAACTCTTCATCCTCTTTCCTCTGTTAGGTCTCTTCTTTGTTTTGGGGACCCCATACTTAAACTAATGCAACCAAAGATAACAGCCTTATGGATTGAACAGTATTTTACAATATTTCCTTGGTCAATTTCACTCTTCCTTCAAGCAAGTGATTTAAAAATTGGATTTAGGACTCTATGTATAATATTGTTTAAAATTTTATACTATTTCACTTGTACAAATACTTTTTATTTTATTTTAATTTTTTTTTACAAATACTCTTAAAATAGATACTTGAAATAATTTTTAAAAGTAAATAAATAAAATTGAATTTAGGAATTGCATTTCTTGGGGATGCTGTATATCTTTTGTCTTTATCACCTATAGTTCCTACCACAGTTCTCTAATGACAGCAAGAGCTCACAATTGTTTATTGAATGAGTGAAATGTCTTTTTTTCCCATGAACTATTGAAATCTATAACTAGCAATTAATTAATTTTATTTTTTAATATATTTTAAAGTAATAAATTTATAATACACTCCCAAACTAAACTCGTAAATGTAAAGTGAAATCCTGAAGCAGTGTATTTGTCTTATATATTCTAAAATCATAATAGAGAGGATAATCTGCATATAATATGATTATTTTCTTGTAAATTTACTCTTAAATATAGTTGCAATAATTTATTATTTAGGAAAATAATGATTGTATTTATTACTATGTATTTTCATGTTTTTCAGTAAAATAGAGCTAATGGGCTCAGAATATATACAAAAAATATATATTGTTTTAGAGAAGATTTATGGCAAAAACACATGATTATTTTTGATTTATTGATCATGTCAGTTTGTGACTGACACCGTGTGAAATTTCATGTTAGGATACCATTTTGTGAATGTGAAGACAAAAATTTTTCCAAGTGGGATGGTGATTTCATTGAGCCTCTCACTGCCTTTGTTGTTGTTGTTAGGGGTACATCTGGAGACATTATCTCCTACAAAAGGGGCCTCCAGCCTGTTAAGTAATAATAGCCTTTCTCACCCTGAAACAATGAAGTTTCAGATGATTGCAGCTTCAAATAAAAGATTCCCACTCCCTTTCAGAGGAGATTATAGTCTGATTCCCCTCTCACCCTGGTGAGCCTGGCACTCAAGAATATCTAGTTTAGTCCTTTCTTTGTTAAAGGGGTCTTTGTCATACTGTCTCATTTATTCCAGCAGGATATAGCCATTATTTTGTTCTGCTGCTTGGCACATGCAGCAGTTTCTTCAGTAGCACCTGGAATCATGTTGTTTTCCCTTTGTTATGGAGCTTAAGCTTCATCTAAATAATTACTTTTGTTCTGAAATCAAGCTCCACAAACCAAGTGCTTTTGACAGACACACTGACTCTCAGAATGTTCTTTGCCCTCTGTAAAATCAGCATTAATTCCTGATTAGATTCCCTTTCTGTCCCCATTAATTTCCAGGTCGTTTGGGTCCTGGGAACACTTATTTGTGGCTTCTTTAATTGGTCGCATTTTGTGTTTAGTGGATTTGCTGTAGTTTAGAGCAGTTTAAAGGTACCCTTTTTTGTTGTTTTGGCAGGAGATGAGGGGGATTAATTGTAAGAGTATTGAATGAAGTCAGGTGACTCTGAGATGCTACAGTTGTTAAGGAGGGGAAGTAGTGAACATCATGGTTCTTATTTATCCACAGCTGTTGCAGTGAGAACATTAAATGACAATGCTTCTTTCCCTTTTTTCCCTCCCTCCCTTCTTCCATTCTTTCTCTTTTTCTCCCTCCTAGCCCCCTTCTCTTTCATTTGAAAAAATTGAAGTCAGGTTTCATTTAAAACTTATTCTTTTATTCAAAAACTAAGTGCTTAATATAAAGAATATAGAAAGTAAAAAGGACTGCCGTTTTGTGTTTGTGTCAGGTTCTCTTAGATTAGAAAGAATCGTATACAGTCTGGTAAACTTCTGCATGAAGAAGTTCTGAGAATATTAAAGTACCCTTTCAGACTCAACACAGTTCTCGTTATAGCCTTGCAGAATTGATTCTTTGAAATTACTGTCTCTCAAGTGTTTTGGAAGACACCTTAGTGTAACTGTTAGTCATCATTCTTGGGTTCAAATCCTGGTTCTCTGTAAACTAGCTAATTAACTTTTCTAGTCCTCAGTTTTCTGGTGTGTAAAATGGGGATAATGGTACCTACTCATAGATTTGTTGCATTAAATGTGTTAGATGAGTTAACACATGTAAGGTGTTTAGAACAGGACCAGGTAGTAAGTGCTCTAGCAGTGTTAGCTATTTTTTAAAACCATCTTAAACATGATATTTGAATGCCTGCTATTTTTTAAAACAAAATTTCAGTATTTAAAAAGATAGTATAGACTTTCTCATTAAATGAATTCACAGTCTTATTAGGTGATAGCATGGTTAAAAATAAGTTACATTACCAAGATAACTAGGTGTGATAACTCTAGTGATACCAAGATAACTCTAGATGTGATCATTCACCTAGAGCCAGACATCCTGCAGTGTAAAGTCAAGTGGGCCTCAGGAAGCATCACTATGAACAAAACTAGTGGAGGTGATGGAATTCCACCAGAGCTACTCCAAATCCTAAAAGATGATGCTGTTAAAGTGCTGCATTCAGTATGCTAGCAAATTTGGAAAACCCAGCAGTGGCCACAGGACTGGAAAAGGTCAGTTTTCATTTCATTCTCAAAGAAAGACAATGCCAAAGAATGCTTAAACTACTGCACAATTGCACTCATCTCACACACTAGCAAAATAATGCTCAAAATTCTCCAAGTCAGGCTTCATCAGTGAACCGTGAACTTCCAAATGTCCAAGCTGGATTTAGAAAAGGCAGGGACATGAGAGATCAAGTTGCCAACATCCACTGGATCATAGAAAAAGCAAGTGAATTCCAGAAAAACATCTGCTTCATTGACTATGCTAAAGCCTTTGACTGTGTAGATCACAACAAACTATGGAACATTCTTCAAGAGATGGGAATACCAGACCACCTTACCTGCCTCCTGGGAAATGTGTATGCAGCTCAAGAAGTAATAGTTAGAATGGAACATGGAACAACAACTGGTTCCACATTAGGAAAGGAATATGTCAAGGCTGTATATTGTCACCCTACTTATTTAACTTCTATTCTGTGTACATCATGTGAAATGCTGGGCTGGGTGAAGCACAAGCTGGAATCAAGATTGCAGGGAGAAATATCAATAACCTCAGATATACAGATGACACCACCCTATGGCAGAAAGAGAAGAGGAACTAAAGAGCCTCTCAATAAAGGTGAAAGAGGAGAGTGAAAAAGCTGACTTAAAACTGAACATTCAGGAAGATCATGATATCTGGTCCCATCACTTCATGGCAAGTAGATGGGGAAACAGTGGAAACAGTGACAGACTTTATTTTCTTGGGCTCCAAAATCACTGCAGATGGTGACTGCAGCCATGAAATTAAAAGACACTTGCTCCTTGGAAGAAAAGTTATGACCAACCCAGACAGCATATTAAAAAGCCAACAAATGCCCGTCTGGTCAAAGCTTTGGTTTTTCCAGTAGTCGTGTATGGATGTGAGAGCTGGACTATAAAGCAAGCTGAGCACTGAAGAATTGATGCTTTTGAACTGTGATGTTGGAGAAGACTCTTGAGAGTCCCTTGGATTGCAAGGAGATCCAACCAGTCCATCCTAAAGGAAATCAGTCCTGAGTATTCATTGGAAGGACTGATGCTGAAGCTGAAACTCCATTACTTTGGCCATTACTGAAGCTGAAACTGAAACTCCATTACTGATGTGAAGAACTGACTCGTTTGAAAAGACCCTGATGCTGGGAAAGATTGAAGGCAGGAGGAGAAGGGGATGACAGAGGATGAGATGGTTGGATGGCATCATCGAGTCAATGGACATGAGTTTGAGCAAACTCTAGGAGTTGGTGATGGACAGGGAAGCCTGGTGTGCTGCAGTCCATGAGGTCGCAAAGAGTTGGACACGACTGAGCAACTGAACTGAACTGAAACATGTATGCTTGCCTGTTGAAACTTGTTTTGACCACCTTGTGGTCCTCATATGACAGATGGACTTCAACTTCAATTTGAAGAGCTTTACAATAGTTATACTCACGGGTGAACACCTGATTCAGTGTCACCAAGGTACATTTTAAAAATATAAACTCCAGGGCCCTCTTTCCACCCACTGAGCCAGAATGAGTGGGGTGGAAAACCTAGGAATCTACCTATTTCACAAGCTTCCCTTGGGAATCTTATGCACAGTTGAGAAAAGCTGCCCTGCAACAGTGGTTCTCAACCAAGATGCCCATTAGAATCACTGTATCATTTAAAAGATGCAGTTGCTTGCCTCCTGACTATTTTTGGGGTGTGGCATTGGGCATTAAGTTATCAAGTGATTATAGTGTGTAGGGTGGAGAAGCAGTGGCATTTGAAGAGGATCACTGAAGGTGATTGTTGACACAGTTTAATATATCAGGATGTAAGCTGACGATATTTTCAAAAAAGTCATTACAGTGGTGACTGGGGAGAAGGAGGGAAATGTTTTTGCTTCATGGGTACAGAGTTTCTGTTTGGGATGATGAAAATGCCCTGGAAATAGATGATTGTGATGGTTGTACAACATTGTGAATGTGCTTAATGCCACTGGATTATACATTTATAAATGTTTAAAATGGTAAGTTTCATGTTATATATATTTTACCACACTAAAAAAAAGGCATTGCAGTTCTCACATTTCTGAGCCTAAAGTTTTTTTTGTTTGTTTCTTTTCACAGTGACAGTGTATCATGCATGCCACTAATTCCAGGGGACACTCCCCTGCTTTCCTGCAATCTCAGAATGGAAACAGCCATCGTTCATCTGGCTATGTTCCAGGGAAGGTTGTCCCACTGCGTCCCCCTCCTCCTCCAAAGAGCCAAGCTTCAGCCAAATTTACCTCCATCCGACAGGAAGCCCAGGCCAGCTTTGCTTTTTCATCTGAGGAACAGCAAGTCCAGAGAGATCGCCGAAAGCAGAAGAGGCACAAAAATACTTTCATTTGCTTTGCTATTACTAGTTTTTCATTTTTTGTTGCACTTGCAGTCATTTTAGGAATATCCTCAAAATATGCTCCAGATGGTGAGTACATATAGGAGAAGAAAGAAGGGAAGGAAATAGAATAAATTCTGAAAAATCTTTTGTTATCTTAACTTGGCTCTAGCTAACTTATATATAATGTAGATAATAGGAGCTATAACTTCTTATGAATGAGAGCAATTGTTAAAGGAATCCATTGAAAATGATAAAAGATTGCTCTTCCTTTCCATTTGCCACTTTGCCCCAGGGCTCACAGACCTTCTTGGAACATTTCTTTTCAAAATGGTAATTTTAAGAGTCTTTACTGAAATCTTGTGGTGGCACAATTTCATCTTTTGTAGTAGGTATGATTTTCAGATTGCCACAAGTTTTTAGTAATAAGAATTACTAAATGCAGTGATAAAAAGTACATTTAATTGGGGGAAAAAAGTGAAAGTGATAGGATTTGTGTTCTGCCATTTGAAACCAGTTGAGGGGACAGTTCCAAAAGAGAAGCTCCCAGTATTTTTGAGTAATAATGTGTATCCTTAAAGGAAAATATCCATTAGTAGGTATAAGTTCTGATACACTTGTTTTCATAGTTAAACTTCATTTAGGAGGATTTTAATTTCTTAAATGGTTTTTGCTTTTCGAGTTGGTGACATCACAGTACTTTGAATGATATTGTCAGTCAGCCTCAGTATAGCACTGCTAAAATGTTTGTGTGTTTAGTCGTGCCTGACTCTTTACACCCCTATGGACTGTAGCCCGCCAGGCTTCTCTGTCCATGAGATTTCCCAGGCAAGAATACTGGAGTGGGTTGACATTTCCTCCTTCAGGGGATCTTCCCAACCCAGGGATCGAACCTGCATTTCCAGCGTCTCCTTCATTGGCAGGCAAATTCTTTGCCTCTGAGCCACCTGGGAAACCCCAGTACCAATGAAGACTGGCCTCAAAATACACCCCATCCCTCTCTAAAAATCAAAGGGCTCAGAGCTGTGAAGAAAGCAGACCAGGCCACCATATTGGTCTGCATTATTTTATCATCTGCAACAGATTTTTGCTGAATTAGTGCCTTCTTAAATGGATATAACATTTGAGAAGTATTTTACTGGTTATAGGCGTCCCTGGAATGAATCAGATGGTAAAGAACCTGCTTGCAGTGCAGGAGATCTGGGTTTGATCCCTGGGTTGGGAAGATCCCCTGGAGAAGTGAATGGCTACCCACTCCAGTATTCTTGCCTGGAGAATTCCATGGCCAGAGGATCTTGGCGGGATCCAGTCCATGGGGTTGCAAAGAGTTGAACATGACTGAGTCCCTAACACACTTTCACTTACTGGTTATAAGACTTGGAAACATTAGTCTATTTAGTTTTCATGGATGATTTAGGGGGTCTTAGAGACTTAAAGGTTTATGGGGAGATAATGTCAATACTTGTAAAAAAGTAGACCTGAAGAAAGAGAGATGTTCATTTGACTTTTTTTTTAATGTATATGTGTTTGTTTTGTTTTTTTTAATTGGAATGTAGCTGCTTTGTAATGTGTTAGTTTCTGCCATACAGCAAAGTGAATCAGCCATACGTATACACGTATCCCCTCTTCCTTGGATTTCCTTCCCATTAGGTCACCATAGAGCTTTAAGTAGAGCTCCTTGTGCTATACAGTTGGTTCTCATTAGTTATCTATTTTATACACAGTAATTATGTAGGTCAATCCCAATCTCCCAGTCCATTCCACCCTACCTTCCTTCCTTGGTCTGTCTCTATTTCTGCTTTGCAAATAAGTTTCATCTATGCCATTTTTTTTAGATTTTATGTTTTGTGTTAGTATAAAATATTTGTTTTTCTCTTTCTGACTTATACTTCATTCTGTATGACAGAGTGATGCTGAGGTGTCTGTCAACATCTTTGTGGGCCAAGCCAGTGGACCACATAAAGAACTTGCAACATTGCTTTTTGTTGCATATACCATTGATTTTCTCTCCTCTTTTCTCCAGAGAAATAACCAAGTTCACTGCTGTTGATTCATTCTTTCCAAGCAATCTGCAGTAAATGGATGCTAGATTATGGAAAACCAGAGCTAAAATCTGTGGCTTTAATTGACATTTTCATATTCCAGCTAAGACAGTGAATTGGTGATGTGGTTCCTTGAATCAACATTTTTTAGTTTCACATTTTGGCAGTAAAGGGCAGAATATCAGTGGAAAGACCTGGTATGCTAAAATATTTCAGAATCAGCCCTACTGTGGTTACTGCTGTTACATAACTTTAATAATGAATCCCACTCCTCAACAAGTGGGTAGCCAAGAAGGTGGGGCTGGCTAACCTATTTTTTGATGCTTTCTGCAGACTACATGTTTTCTCATTAAATGTACTTTACTGGAAAAAAACAGATTAGAATTTTGGGTGATAAAAATTTTTTTGTGAAGCATGCTTTCCTAGGAAATAACTATAAACAATTAAGAGGAATTATATAATTATTATAGTAGGTTTTAGATCTTTTGAGGTTAGATTCCTTCTGGATTTTCTTCTCTAACTGGGTCCATTGCTTGTTTCTTGGGACCTACATTTGCTTGTGATATCATGGAGAACTCCAGTTAAATGTTTTATGGGTAGAGAAGGAGGTACAAGAAAAGCTCAAGAAATCCTCAATATTAAGTCTGAATGAATTCAAGACGTTTCTTGTTTTTTTGATAGATAGAAAAGTTTGACTATTCTTCGCGTATTAGTGATGATCATTGATTCATCAGAATTAAATATCAATGATTATGAAGCTGCTAGGCAAAAATTAATTCCATGAAGTAATTGCCAAGGTCTTACCTAGTAGGACTAATTTCAATGGTAGTGGTTACTATCCCCCCAAAGAGAAAGCAGAAACCAACATGAATGCTTAGAAATAGATGTTTGCATTAGTGGTGTGCAAGTTCAAAATGAGGAACCATAGTTTACTTCCTATAAAAAACTATATCTTTGTGATGTATGCAGTATCTCTACTTTTTCTCACATTATCCTCTAGTATGTACCTTCCACTTCATACAAGTGTACCCTGTCCTTTCTAATCTTTGCTTAGTTTAAATGTAGGTGACATCTGGTTATTCTAAATGAGCAACCGAATGGACTTGGACCATAAGGGATGTTTGCATCGCTAATTTCATATCTCCCCTTCATGCTCCTCTTTTTTAAATCCTGTCCACTATTTGGGGGTCTAGGTCTGCTCCGTTGAAGCTGTCTCAGTTACTCTAGCGCCACCTCTCCTTTCTCTGAGCTTTTCTGCATCTAAAGAATCTACCATATTTTTCAGTATTAGTTCATACAAAACTAGATTATATGCTTTAAGGGCTGTGAGCTCATTATAAATTTTATATATTATAAACTTTTTTTTTTTTTTGCCATGTCATTATTTAGCATTTATCACATCATATGCGGGATGGTTTATCTGAATAACTGTCTCCACAGCCAGAATTTCTTGAGGGCAGATTCTTGTCATCTTCATCTTCATCTTCCAAAGTCTAGCACACATTGGAGATACTTGGAACAGAGGATTAGGTAGCTAGTTATTACATTTCTTTGGATGCCTTGAGGCCCACTGCATGGTTCTCTGCCCACAACAAGCCTCCAATAATTGTTGAATTGAAATGAATTTAATTCGTCTTGGCCTCCAAGTCCTCATTTTCAAAATGGGTATAAATGACCTCAAAAGTCAATCCCAGTTTGGACACACTCAGTGTCCATTGTATAAAACTGGAAATATTTATGTTAAAAAATGAAAACCTCAGTAATTAGGCGGTATGTATAGCTTTTGCTCTTTTTCTTTCTTCTTCATGAACACACACACACACATATATATATACATATATACTTTGCATATAAATAGAACCCACTTTACATACAATTCTATAACTACTTGTTTTACTTACTAACATATGGGAGGGACTTCTGCTTCTGCCTGTGACTAACTTGTAGAGAGAGATCAACCCTCTCAATAAACAGCAAGAAGACCTAGATAAAATGGTTGAAAAGAAAATTAAAATATGTTGCTGCTGTTGCTGCTGCTGCTGCTGCTGCTAAGTCACTTCAGTCGTGTCCGACTCTGTGCGACCCCATAGACGGCAGCCCACCAGGCTCCCCCGTCCCTGGGATTCCCCAGGCAAGAACACTGGAGTGGGTTGCCATGTCCTTCTCCAATGCATGAAAGTGAAAAGGGAAAGTGAAGTCGCTCAGTCGTGTCCGACTCTCAGTGACCCCATGGACTGCAGCCCACCAGGCTCCTCCGTCCTGGGATTCTCCAGGCAAGAGTACTGGAGTGGGGTGCCACTGCCTTCTCCATAAAATCTGTTAGAAGGCTTCAAAGAGCTATCCAGGAAGCCAGGAGCTGAGTGCTGGGAATCCCGGAGTATGAGAGCCTGAAGTCCATGTGCGTCCCCATGAGTCTGCCAGTTTCAAAGTATCTGGATAAAGAGACTGAGCAGAAGCTGCGTGCGGAGACCCAGGCCGGGCCGAGTTTTCCACAGTCCGACGGTCTGGAGAGACAAAAATAATCTATGAACGTTCAGTGGAGCGCACAGACTCATCCACGGTAGAATTCACAGGTTGGAAAGAACTCCGGAGATGACGTGACCAAGCACTTCATTTTGTGGATGTAGCAGCCGAGGCCCAGAGATGCTGAGTGAGTGGCCCAGGGTCACACAGCAAATGGGCGGAGCCTGCTGGTGCGACCTTCTTGCAGCGTACTGCTCTGTAGCTGGTGCTGCTCTCCCAACCGTCCGCTCCCCATTTGTCTCCACATACCATAGCTGAATTTTGAAACGAGCTCATCTGAGCAGCTGGAGAGAAAGAGCTGGCGGGCGTGGAGAGGTGGAGTTCTAGACCTGGGGGTGGGCGGCATCTCTCTAGATCCCCGTGGAGCCTCTGGGGGTGGGGTGTTATCTGTCAGTCTTCGTCCACGGCGGCGCCCCTTCGTCTCTTCCTCGAACGGCCTCTCCTCTGTGCGCGCGCCGTGAGGCGTGCGCGGGGCGAAGGGAGTTCTCGCCAAGCTTCTGAGCCTCCTTTCCCCGCTCGCCCACCACCCGAGGAGCCTCGCCACCGAGCCTGGCCCAAAGCAGGGGCGCTCCGGGGGTGCCGCTCGGTCCCCGGGGCGGGTGTGGAGGGAGGGAGGGCGAGCCCCTCACGCCGCCTCCAGGTGCGGGGGCGGCCGCGGCGCGCGGAGCCATATTATAAACTTTATGAATTTTACACTATCTAGTCCAGAGTGGACAAATTTGTCCTCAATAACTACTTGGTCATTAGTTGGTCAAAATTGGTGTGATAATGGAGAGAGTAGCATGGAAACATATACACTAACATATGGAAAATAGCCAGTGGGAATTTGTTGTATGATTCAGGAAACTCAAACCAGGACTCTGTGACAATCTAGAGGAGTGGGATAGGGTAAGAGGTGGGAGGCAGGCTCCAGAGGAAGAGGACATATGTATATCTGTGACCGATCCATGTTGATGTATGGGAGAAATCAACACAATATTGTAATTATCCTAACATTAAAAATAAATTTTAAAAAATTGGTGTGATATTTTTTCCTCTCTCCCAAATTTTATATATATATATATATATAAATGAAAGGTCTCATGCATTAAATAGCTTTGGCAATGCAAAATACTTTTTGTATTTTCATCATCATCTATTCAAGAGGCAAATTCTAGCAAAGGAACACTGCAAGGAAAGTAAACCTCATTTTTTGTTGTTGTTGTTAAACCTCATTTCTTAAAGGGGAACTTTCATATCACTCAACTTGCTGAGTTGTCTTGGGTTTGGCTTCTCTAATCTGTAGTTTCCTCATCTCTGAAAATGAGAAGTCATGGTTTTGGCTATTTGCCACTTGCAGTTTTGTTGGGAAAATGTACATGTCTGAAGATACCGCTATTTATCAGCAGCTGCCTTTGTGATGAAGAAGTGCCGTTATCACCTACTTTATGATTCTCCATGCATAGGAAGGAACCTGGGAAGACCTAATATGCATATTGCTTATCAATTTTCCTTTTTTTTCCCATTTTTTTATCTATCAGTATGTTGTGAACTTATTTTCTTTTCTAAACACAATTCAGAGTTTTGCCTCTTATTGTTGATTTGTTTCCAGAGTAGATAGTTCAGGGGAACTCTGTTTTTACTGGACTCTGACCCAAACTAGATGAGAGCAACTTGCTTTTGTGGTGAAACCTTTTTTATGTTTTGAGGAAGTAAAGGATTTGACATAGCTCTGCTTGGTGGGATGGGATAGGAATTCCATCCTTATGGAAAGAAATTAAAATAGTCAGCCCATTACTTGCAAGTTGCAGTAAACAACAGTAGTACTTGAATTTGGCTAAAGGTATTTTTGTGTCTTGTTGGTTTAATGGGGTATTGATGTTGCTTTGTTTTATAGAGAATTGCCCAGATCAAAACCCCCGTCTCAGGAACTGGGATCCAGGACAAGATTCTGCAAAACAAGTTGTTATCAAGGAAGGAGATATGTTTCGTCTGACCTCAGATGCCACAGTGAATTCTATAGTTATTCAGGATGGAGGTAATGGTCCCTGTCTATGGGAACAGCAACATTTGATGTTCTTTATGTAGAAAACTATTGTTGGCATTTAGAATGTGGTGTCACTCTAATCGTGGAGACAGGAACGTTTCCTAAGTTAGAACCGTAGAAATCAACAGCTAGAAGGGCCTTAGAAATCACTGAAGTCAAGACCGTTGATTTATTCAGAAAGAAAGAGCTCCAGAAGGTCATCTCTCATAGTTAAATCTTTGTTACAACTATGGAGAGTGATGAGAGAATTAATGTAGGTTAATATAGGTAAAAATGAGATTCAGATTTGTAGAGTCTTAGATATTTTTCTAGAAATGATTTACCTTTAAAGTGAATGGATTGAAATTCTTACACATGGGCATGTTTAGGGTGTTGAGATATGAATTCTCCATTGCTTTAATATGTTTTGAAAACATTCAATTTTCTAAGCAGACTTACAGTAAATTCTTTTTCCCACCTTAACTGCAAAAGTGCTTTTTTTCCCTCTTAAGATGAAAGCTATTTCTCTGTACCTTAGAAAGATATTTCAGAAACTGGCTTACTTAGTGTTATTCCCTGCAGGACTGCTTGTGTTTGGGGATGATAAAGATGGATCCAGAAATATTACTTTGAGGACTCGTTACATCCTGATCAAGGATGGTGGGGCGCTTCATATTGGAGCAGAAAAATGCCGCTATAAATCCAAAGCGACAATTGCCTTGTATGGCAAGTCAGATGAAGGTGAAAGTATGCCAACATTTGGCAAAAAATTTCTTGGTGTGGAAGCCGGTGGGACACTGGAATTACATGGGACACAGAAGGCGTCATGGACATTGTTGGTGAGAACTCTGAATGCTTCAGGCTTGACCTTTGGCTCCTATGCCTTTAAAAAGGACTTCTCCAGGGGCCTCAATGTGAGGGTCATTGATCAAGACACAGCCAAAATTTTGGAAATTGAGAGATTTGATACCCATGAATCCCAAAATGAAAGTAGGCGTCTTCAGAAATTCCTGAGAGACCAGGATCCAGGGCGGATTGTTGCCATAGCTGTTGGAGATTCAGCTGTTAAAAGCCTTTTACAAGGAACCATACAGATGATCCAGGACCGGCTGGGAAGTAAGCTGATCCAAGGGCTGGGCTACAGGTGGGCATGCTATCTTTTTAATTTTTTTTTTAGCATGAAGATATATTTTACAATTTTGTGTTTATTTATTTTTGACTGTGCTGGGTCTTCCTTGCTGCCAGGCTTTCTCTCGCGCGAGCCGAGGCTGCTCTCTGGCTGTGGTGCTCGGATTCTCCTCGCGGCGGCTCCTCTTGTCGCCGAGCACGGACTCTAGGGCCCTAGGCTCAGTAGCTGTGGCTTGAGGGCCCAGCGGCCCCTCGGCTGGTGGGATCCTCCTGGACCAGGGATCAAACCCACGTTCCCTTCATTGGCAGGTGGGCTCGCAGCCACTGGACTGCAGGGAGGCCCCATACCTATCCTATTTTTACTTTCCTTGCCGCTGCGTATTAGAATCTCTGTGTGAGAGGAGAGTGTGATGGAGAAAGTCAGGTGTCAGAATGGCCACTACAGTTTGGAAGTCTGGTTGCCTCTTGCTTTGAATTGGAGGACAGAATATCGGTTACAAAGCTCTTTTCTAAGCTTTGGTTTATGAAACACTTTGTGAACCTTAGCATTGGACTTGTGAAAAATTAAGAACGGGAGTATGGTTCTGAAAAACAATCAGTTTAAGGAAATTGACTTCCTTCTTATAGTATCTTCTGAAGATCATATGAAACTCAGGCTAATTGAGGCACCTTATGAGTTGAAAGGTTAGGGCCCCGTTCTGGGCTAAGGAGTAAAAGTTGTCTTAAAAGCACAAGGAGGGGTGGAACATGCACAGGTTTCTTTTTCTTTTCTTTCTCTCTCTCTCTTTTTGTTTTTCTTTTGTTTTTTGAATCCTTTAATTTGAATCTTGTTTGATTGGCACTGTCCTATGAGACCCTGGTCCAAGTTGGAGGGCCCGGAAGTTCATCCACATAGTAGGATTCATTCCTACAATTTATTCCTATGTTCTTGTGCCATATTCTGGTTAATCATGATTTCCTAATGCGGTTCTGGGGAAGTAGGCTCAACATTCACAAAGAAAACAGAAGTTTTCTGCTTACTGTTCACAGTAAAGCCAGGGGATATCTGCAGTGAAAAGTTAGAGAACTTCAAAACTGGCATGTTGAAATGATCTAGTTTCTCTATTTTTCCTTTGATGGTTGATTTATCTAGTTATTATTTTTTCCTTTGGTCAGTGTTAGAATGGAATATTATATATAGAAATTGTAGAGAAAGTTAAGACAAAAATTAGTGAAGAAAAAGGGTCTGTAGTGGTTTTAAACTTCTTTTTACTCACACGGGGAATATTTGTTGTTGTTGTTCAGTCACTAAGTCATGTCCCACTCTTTGCGATCCCATGAACTGCAGCATGCTGGCTTCCCTGTCCTTCACTATCTCCTAAAGTTTGCTCAAACTCATGTCCATTGAGTCAGTGATGTCATCCAACCATCTCATCCTCTGTCGCCCCCTTCTTTTCTTGCCCCCCATCTTTCCCTTCAACAGTCTTTTCCCAGGAGTCGACTCTCTGCATCAGGTGGCCAAAGTACTGGAGTTTCTTTTCATGCTCATGTGCAGGTATTTCTATAATTGATAGACCTAGGAGTGAAAGCATGGTCTGCTCAGATACCTACTCTATTTCATAATCATCCGATAGTACCAGAGATAATAACTTTTGTTTCTTTAAGTCATTATTGTTCTAGATTTGTATGATCATTAGCTTTGAATGTTTTGTTTGACTTTTGGGGTAATCTTCTTCCTACTGTTTTCAAATTCCTTTTAAAATATTGCTGCTGATTTGACGGAGAAATTAGAATTGCGATCCTTTGCCAGTGTTCCTTTCCATTTATATTATCTCCAGGGTACATAAACATGCCCCTTTGAAGATAATGTCTGGCACGTTGAAATTTTCCTCAAGTGGAGGAGGGAAGTAGGAGTGTTTTGGAGATAGTGTCAGTAGAATAGAACATTGTTTTATAGTTGCTGAGGCAGTTCTGGTAAATAAAGGAAGCCTCTGATAGTCTTCCTCTCCTTCCCTCACATAGGAGATAATAAACTAAAACATTCTTCATTTGATTCTTTCTGCTGTATCAAAGAATATAAATAGAGCTATAAAACAGTCAGCCAAAGAGTAGCTAATCCATGCAGGGGTGGGTGTGGGATTTGTAAGGATGTAGGCATGCATTGGTTAACTTTCATCTGTGAATATCCAGCCATCTGTCTAGCATAGATTATATTTGGCATTTTTCCCCCCTACAGTAGGAAGCTGACATTTTTCTTTTCATGTTTTAAACCAGGAGTCTTAAGGCTAATTTTCTGATGTTTTGTCTTTATTCTTTCTTTCTTTTTTTTTCAAATTGACTTTGGTAACAAGCTTGAGCAGAGTCCCTGGAATGTTTATCACAGTATCACAGAAATAAAATGGTGTTTTTCAAGTGTATTGCTTTCAACAGCTAGATATAAAGCATGTAAAATTAAAAACCTGTTGAATAGTGATTCTATAGCTTTAATATTAAACTAATAACCCAGCGGTTCTCAGCTTTGTTTGCACACCTGAGATCATGTACCTGATGGCCCACGGTACATCATTTACATCAGGATCTCTGAAGCGTAGGACATACCCCCGCTCCCCACTGGCAATTATGCAGTCAAAGATAACGCCTACTGCTGTAACCTCTGACCTGTGACTCAGGTTTGCAGTGTGGTTCCCAGACCGGCAGCATCAGCATCACCTGGGAACTTGTCAGTAATTCTATGGCCGCACATCCAACAGTCAGAAGGTGCGGCCCAGCAGTCTGGTTTAACAAGCCTTACATTTAATTCTGATACCAATGAAGTCTGAGAACCCCTGCCCTAACTTGGTGGTTCTCCAGTGTGGCTGCACAGTCAGAGCATCTGGGGAACTTTAAAACAGACTAATGCTAGGCCCCGCCTGTAGAGATGTTGGTTGTGTTGGTGTGGGCTGGGTCTAAGCTTGGATATGTTTCTAAAGCTCCCATATGATTCTATTATGTAGTTAGATTTGAGAACATTGCAGAGATAAGAGTGGAAAAGAGACCAGGCAATAATCATTTAAAAAGAAATGGGGGCTTCCCTGGTGGCTCAGATGGTAAAGAATTTGCTTGCAATGCAGGAGACCTGGGTTCAGTCCCTGGGTTGGGAAGATCCCCTAGAGAAGGGAGTTGCAATCCATTCCAGTATTCTTGCCTGGAGAATTCCATGGACAGAGGAGCCTGGTGGGCTACAGTCCTTGGGGTCACAGAGAGTCGTACACAACTGAGTGACTAACAAACACTAGTGATCCAGTGGTTAAGAATCTGTCCTCTAATGCAAGGGATGCTGGTTTCATATCTGGTTGGAAACTGACACCCCACATGTTGAGTGGCCAGAAGATTAGAAAAAATAATAATAAAAAATAATGTGAATGAAACAAGTGTGCATCGGGGAAGTCAATGATTAATTGAAATCATAGTAATCAGCGTTTCACCTGTTACAGAACTGGACAAACAGGGATTTAAAATCCAGGTGCATTTCCTTCTGTGATGTCAGTTTTTTCAGTCAAGTTTGGACTTGCAACCTCATGTGGAAAAAGAGTTGGAGGGATTGACAAAAATGAAATAGAGTTAATAGCACCTGTCATAACATCTGTGTTGGGGATTTGGGTCAGTACCATGCCAAATAATCAGTTGCACCTGCTCTTTTTCCTTCTAGGCAAGCTTGGGCTTTGGTTGGTGTCATTGATGGTGGCAGTACTTGCAATGAATCTGTAAGAAACTATGAGAATCATAGTAGTGGAGGGAAGGCTCTCGCCCAAAGAGAATTTTATACTGTGGATGGTCAGAAGTTCTCTGTGACAGCTTATAGTGAATGGATTGAAGGTAGGCAAGCACAGTTTATACTCTTGTTAATACGTTGGTAAGTATTGTGATAAATGTTTTTTAAAGTGGCATAGTATTCAAATGACAGTCTATTTCTATTTTTCAACTGGTTGAAGATGAAACCTATAGTTTTCCAACTATAGTTGATCTTTTAGGCTGAAACAACACTCTTTTCTGGATTAGAAAATGATCTAGTTTAGGCATCCTCAGTTGGACATTGTTTGTAATTCTTAAGTCATTAGGTGTGGTTAATAGATTTGTTTCCTAGATTTAGTATCAGTCGAACCAATCTGGATGTAATAGGGTGAGCTGTCTTTGATTATGTTCTGTGACAGTGAACTGGTTTTGTACTTTGGTTCTTATTGTTATATAGCTGTATGGACAAATATTACCTTTGAACACATGCTGTGTAAACAAATTACTCGGTTGCTTAGCAATGTTTCATTGATAATTCAGCTACTACATTTATTTTATAGACAAACTGGAAAACAGAGAAAAGTACAAAGTTAAAATTAATGTTTCACCCTATCATTCAGAGTTAATTAGCATTTAAAATCTATGTTCCCTCCCCTAGTGTTCATTTTGTTTTAACCTGCTTGCCTTTCCTTAAATAATATATTTTAAAGTTATCTTAGGTCTTTACTTTTCTTCAGCATATTTTGAAAATTAGAATCCACTTTTCAGAAGAACTATCATGTCTAACAATGATACTCTCACCTTTTTTTTTTTTTTAAAGGAAATTCACTGAAGAATTTCTGTATTTTGCTGCTAGATTTTTTTGGCTCTAGGTGAATTGGCAGCCTCCTGTCTGTGCTTGCCCACCACCTTTCTTTTCCAACCCAGTATTATCCCAAAATTAATGTGAAATGAGTACTTAAAAGGTGGTTTATTACATCTGTAATTACCCAGAAAAGCTTATTTTAGGCTGGGCACATACCTCTGTTTTTAGCAGCACTGTAGCAAAGTATTCACTGAAATGGATTTCTGGAGACAGAATGCCTGGGTTCATGTCCCAGCTGTTTTACTTACTGTATGATGACGGCATATGACTTTAACTTCCTAACCCTTAGTGTCCTCATCTGAAAATGGGGATAATAATGGAAACTACCACATAGGGCTGCTGTGAATATCAAACATGAAGAATATGAAGTTTTTAGCACAGACTATATAGTAAGCACTCAATAAAGGTTAGCTGTTTTAACAGTAATGCAAACATGACTTGGGATATAACTGTATTTTGTATCCTTGTAATTAAAAAAGGAGTCTTTTGCTTTAAAACAAACAGATAAACAGAGTTCCTGGAATGGAATTCACATGCTCCATTTAAGCAGCCTTCTGAGTTTGAGGTGAGGAGATAGTATCTTATTATGGATGAGGAAACTGGAATCAAGCCTAAGTTTTCTGCCTCCAAGACTATTGTTCTTTCAACCACATCATGATTGCCTCTGGCAAAAAGCCAAGGTAGATGAGAAGTATTTCTGAGCAGGAATTTGGACTTGCATGAAGAGTTTAGTGGAACTTCTTTCAGTAAGACTCCAGGCAGAGGATGACAGACTTGGAGTCAACATTCCCTTTGTGAGAAATTTTGCTTACATTTTCACATTACCAATGACTGCTCATTTCTGAGAAAGGATACATTCTAGCTGTCTATTGTAGGATATCTCCTGCTTTCTGCAAGAGGTAGAAATTCACTCCAGGAAGCTAGGGTGGTGAACCTATTTCCTTTCCTACTTCCAGTTCATTAGTGCCAGTAGGAGATATCTCAGGAAGGATTTTCTTCTACATCCAGAAAAAAGTGAAGAATTGTTGAATAATACAGATTTTTCTCTATGTAACCTTGTTTTTTTTTTTTTTTTTAACAGAAGCAAATTCTAATGATCTTTTAAGTTAAAATTTATTTATCTAGAAAATTTTTTGAAAAGCATTATCTTTAGTCTTAACCTGCCTGTTTTAGTTCTTAAGAAGGAAGAATGATATAGAGGTTAGGAAAATTGGACTCTGGAATTAAATTAGCATTCATTGTGGGCTCTTTTTTTAGCTATTAGTCAGACTCCCTGACCTTTGCTTCTTTTATCTCTAATGCATTTAATAGTTCCTCTATCTCAAAGCTGTTTTGATGAAAGGTTATTATGTATGTGAAATCCCAACAGTTGTTAGCCATCATTGATAGTTATTATCTTTATCTAGACAAAATATTCCATTATGGGCTTTAGTATTTATGTGAAAGAAACATAAAGAAAAGACACTTTACATTCATTAGGTTCCTTTTTTTTCTGTTTTGTTTTAGTGCTTTGTAGAAACAGGAAAGCATGGTAGATCAGTCTAGTGGAGCAGATTTCAGAACTTGCTCAGGTTAGGTATTATCAGGTATCCCTAAGACTGTAAGGATATTTGTATTATTCTTTGTATCTTGCCTAAATATCTTGCATTTTGATTCCTTTAACTTAAGTAAATGAGTTTTTTTTTTATTCCTATCATTGACTATTTTTTTTTAATTTAAAAAAAAATATTTATTTGGCTCCACCAACTCTTAGTTGTGGCATATGGGACTTTAGTTATGGCATGCAGGATGTGGTGTCCCGACCAGGGATCGAATCTGGGTCCCCAAGCACTGCGAACTTGGAGTCTTAGCCACTGGACCACCAGGGAAGTCCCTCATTGACTTTTAGCGTCAGTATCTTCAAGTAGCCCCAGAGTAGTTTGTCAATTAATTGGAAAGGTGATACTGAAATACAGATAGTAAACAGATATCTTTGAAATATGGTGTCTCCCCACATTTCCATATTTTCTATAGCTTCCATCTACTCCATATTCATTTGCATTAAATCAGGTTTTGGACCATGACAGATTATATCAAGGACACTTTAGGAAGTAGGAAACAGTGTAGAAGCTTCTGCACTTCTTGGTTGCATGTTAAAGAGTGCAAGTTATAGAGATGTTGGATCAGCTTTTCAGTTTCCATCTGCCTAGTTGGGAACCAACTCTGAATTTCAGAAGGAGGTCTCAGGAAGGATCAGTAATTAGTAGTTCCTGGATTGCAAGTCTGATGTTATCCCAGGAAGGGTGTTTAGTTGGACTGGGCACTATCCTGTGGCCTTTGGGTCACTTTGCAGATGATAGTGGGGCACTTATCCCTTCAGTAGATGTTCATGAGTCTGCACTGTGAGACGGAGCTGTGAATACATGGTGGCTGTGCTTTGCTCTCTTCACTGATGAAGCTTCCAGGGAGGTGAGCTGTCTTCCCATTGGAATGATACTAGTCATACCAGAGAGAAATAACAGAATAGGAATACTGGAGAGAATGGTTACTTCCAAGAGGATGTTTGGGAAGTCCAGAAAGGTTTGCCTGAACTTTATAAGATGAATAGTATCTTGGTTGGTAAATTAAGAGTGGATGGACACTGTAGACAGAGACTAAATGATGAGCAAAGGTCTAGAAATGAGAAATCACCTAAGGCCAGCTTTTATTCTTAATGTTAAGATTATGTGTGTTCATGTCCTATCTTTTCCTGTGCATGGGTCAGATTGAAGCATTGCTGACTTACATTTATCTTTTGATTTATGAATCAGTAAAGGGGTTGATTTTAGAGAAAAAAAAATCACTTTCTTTCTTGCTTTTTGGTCTAGGTATTTCTTTTTCAGGTTTCCGGGTAGAGGCCATAGATGGAGTAAAACTGCACCTGCTGGATGATGTTAGTAGCTGGGAACCCGGAGATCAGATTGTGGTCGCAAGCACAGACTATTCCATGTACCAAGCAGAGGAGTTTACTCTTCTCCCCTGTCCTGAGTGCGGCCGCTTCCAGGTCAAAGTCAAAGGTATCAGACTGCTAAGAAGGCTTCTTGGGAAACACTCTTCTTGAGATATGATTCTTAGGATTCTTTGTTTTTCCTTCAGTCATCATCGTCATCAATACTGAAGGTCTTAGCAGTGGGGTTCTTTGAACACAAGAGTCCCCGGAGGATGTTAGAGAAAAGTAGTCGTTGAGCAATAATGTTGCTGTTAATGATGTATTTTAGACAAATCAGTGTTTTTATATCAGTTTCTATATTTTAAAAAAAGAGATGAAAACTAGACGGATTGAATTTTTTTGCAATATGCTTTCCAACTTTTTTTTATTAAATTTCTGCTATTAGATAATAGTAAACTAGGTTTATTTTTTAAATAGAAGTGTCTCTTTTTTATGTAAAAAAGATGAAACTCATGGTCTTTGAGTGTCTGCTTTCTTGGCCAGTAGTAGATCTCACAAATATTTAAACTGAAACCTTTTTGGTATTTTCATAAAACTACATTTCCTGTCATAATCTTGATGAATGTATTTTTTGAGAGAGAGCAATATACAATGAGATCCTTACTGTAAGCTCTGTTTAGAAAGAATGACTGACATTTACCGGTTACTTATTTTGAGGCTGGTGATAGGCAAAGCTTCTTCCTTCATTGCCTCAGTTATGGGATTCATTGTGCATTCATTCATTATATTGCTTTCCTTGCTTCTGTAATAAAAATTATGCATTATACATTTACAATAGAAAACAAAAGAATTTAGAGTAACTAATAAGTACTCACTCAATGGGTAATTTAGAATTTTCAAGGTTAAAGGAAACTTTTTTGCTTTAAAAAAAAATGAAATTGACTCACTTGGCAGTTTTATCCTGCTTCACTCAGTGTTGTACTTTTCCTTCTTGACCATACAGGCCATAAGCAGAAAGCTGAAAAGTAAAAAATCATCATACCATCTGGCATTAATTTTGTTTGGAAATTCCCATTGTTGTCAACAAGTATACATGATAATGAATCTCCATTATTTGGGTTATTTGTGTTTTTCCTTCCTGAGTTTATATAGTTCAGTTCAGTTCAGTCAAAGATCAGATAAAATCTCGTTGGTAAAATGTTTCTAAGTTTTTAGTAAAGGTGGGGATTTAAAAGTGTATAATAATATTAAAATAAGAAGTGGAAAGAAAAGATAGTTATTTCTGGACTGTTAATGTCCAAGTGCAGATTACTTTAGCTTTGAAGGAGGAGGAAGAAAAACTTGACACCCTATTATTAACATCTGCAAAACCATTAGTTTTCCTAGTTATGGCATGTACTTGGGTATTCATGTGTCCTCAGGGGACTAGAACAAGAGCCCATGGACAGGAAGCAGAGAGAGACAGCATGGACTCTTAGTTAGGTTCCAGATTATTGATGCTGTTCAAGAGAAGACTGAACTATTGGCTTGGCCAAAAAGTTCGTTTGAGTTTTTATGTAACGTCTTCTGGAAAAACCCAAATGGAACTTTTTGGCCGACCCAGTACTTTAGGGAGGAGTAAGCTCTCCGTGTGTGGGTTTGATAGTTGGGAGTGGGGGTTAAGGGCACTGAATGTGGGTGATTAGAGTAGGAAATCCATAAAATCTCTGCTTCCTGGGATTCTTTCATTCTGAGGGATTGAAGAATGGAAACAAACAATAAATTTAATAATGTCTTGAAGTTACAAGATAAAGATTACTGTCTTTTTGATGTAAGTTTTATGTTTTCTTTGTTCTAATGTTATTTTTGCCTTGCTCTTATCAACCAGAAACGCCTCAGTTCCTGCACATGGGTGAGATTATAGATGGTGTAGACATGAGAGCTGAGGTTGGAATTCTTACCCAGAATATTGTCATCCGAGGAGAAATGGAAGACTCATGCTATGCTGAAAATCAGTGTCAGTTCTTTGATTATGATACCTTTGGAGGACATGTCATGGTAGGCAAAAGGATTTAATGAATTCTCTGAAACTCTGACTGCTAAGTACATGTTTGACAAAGCTTTCAAGTTTTGGAATGACATCTTTATGGCTATTGAAATCACATTTTATTTCTCTTTCCAATGACAAGGAGATTTTAGATGATTAAAAGATAACATTATATCTTCATTTAGTTGAACTGGACTCTTAGTTAAACCATTTAAGAATTGTCCTGTGAAGAATGAAATCAATTTACATTAAGAAGAATCAGTTATACAGACAAAAAGACCAAATAATCTCAGTATTATGCATGCAATCTCTGAAAGGATCATTTTTTTTTGTACCATGATATTATGAAAGGGTAAGCAGTAGTGATGTACATATTCAAGATATGTTTCTGTAAAGATATTTTTTATATGCAGATTTTTTATTCTGTAAAAGTACTGAGCACTTATTATATACTAAATGTTGCTCTGTGTACTAATATATTGGACTCCTGGGCTGCATTTTGGCTACATGTGTCTTAAAATCAATTTTTGTGTGTTGAGTAGGATATTATTTTTGGCTGCATTTCTGTTACACTGATTTCTGATATGTTGATCAGTGTCCTGACTTTGTTTTTAGTAGTATGATTGAAAATCCAGAGTTTATAAATATTGAGACTGCTGAAGTTGTGGATCATAGAAGCATTTTTTTAAAAAGAACGGAAGTAAACAGCATTATATGCTAACTAAATCATTGAGGGAGGATTTAGAAATAATTATTTACCACAGTGGAGATTACAGAACTGAAAGAACTGGACTAGATAGGAAATGACCAAAATATTTGAACAAACCCACACATATGTACAAAAATCATTTTTGTAGCCTTCCTGGTTACCTTTCCTTGATTCCTAATAAGAGGCTATTTTTTATTACTCTTTAAAGTATTCATTTATGTAAAGAAGCATTTGCTAAATTCTGAGCTGGAGATCCAAGAAAACAGGATGTGAAAGAAAAATGCTTTCATGTCTGGTCTCCTTCAGATATTTTCTATTAAAACAATATTTTGGGGGAATTTCCTTGGTGATCCAGTGGTTGAGAGTCTGCCTTCGAATGCAGGGGACTCAGGTTCAATCCCTGGTCAGGGAACTAAGATCCCACATACCACAGGGCAACTAGAGAGCCCATGCACCCAACAAATATCCTGCACGCTGCAACTAAGACCTGATACAGCCAAATAAATATTTGGTTCTACAATGTATTTTGTTACTTTGCTTCAGAGCTACTTTGCCCTAAGCTACTTTGCTTGTGTGTTTGTTTGATTTTTGGTTATCTCGTAGATAAAGAAGAATTTTACTTCGGTCCATCTTTCTCACGTGGAATTGAAACACATGGGTCAGCAGCACCAGGGGCGGTATCCTGTTCATTTTCATCTATGTGGAGATGTGGATTCCAGAGGAGGGTACAGGCATGCAGCATTTGTGGATGGCCTGTCCATTCATCACAGCTTCTCGAGGTGCATCACTGTGCATGGGACAAATGGCTTGCTGGTAAGTAGCCTCATATGGTGTTGATACATTTTATGAAAGCAGTCATCTCTCCTTCATTCCCATGACTTATCAATTTTATATAAGTAAGCTGTTGGACCATAGGTCTTACTCTATCCAGCCTTCCTGAGAATTCTGCTCTTTTTCTCTGTTCTCAAGAGATCAGTGAACCCTGACATTTGTCTTTGCCCCATCAGCTGAGATGAAAGCTTTTTGCTTTTGTACTCAGCATGCCTCATGAATGGCACTTGTCAACCACAGCCAGTCTTGTTACCAGTGACATTATACACTTGTATTTTGGCAGATAAAAGACACCGTCGGATTTGACACACTGGGTCATTGTTTCTTTCTGGAAGATGGTATTGAACAGAGAAATACTTTGTTCCACAATCTGGGACTCCTCACCAAACCAGGCACACTTCTTCCCACGGATAGGAATAACTCCATGTGCATCACCATGAGGGAAAAAGTTTTTGGAAATTATATCCCTGTGCCTGCCACTGACTGTATGTGAGTAATTGGTGGAGTGAAAAGCTTACGTGTGATGGCCAAGGCCTGTTGGCTTTTGGGGGATATGTTTAGTGGGAGGTTTTTAGAAGATGTGATTTTTCCTGATGAATATTTAAATCATCTTAAAAAAATGCCTTTCAGGGCTGTTTCAACTTTCTGGATTGCTCATCCCAACAATAATCTGATTAATAATGCAGCTGCAGGCTCACAGGTAAATAACACTAAAGTGCATCAGTGTTTTTTTGCGTTCTTGTTTGTAAGTGTTCTGGTTTATATGTATATGCAACATAGTATGTGGTCATCTAACTCAAGCACCTTGCTTTCTGGTACTGCTTATTTCAGCCTGCTCTCAGAGCAGGCTGTGGTTGAGATGGTTCTTCTGTTTCTTCTACATCATTTGTGCCAGTTAGTATTTATGAGTGTACAAAGACAGATGCCAGATGGAAGAAAAGAGGGGGCTAGTATGTCGGGTTTGGAGAAGGAAATGGCAACCCACTCCAGTACTTTTGCCTGGGAGATCCCATGGACCGAGGAGCCTGGTAGGCTGCAGTCTATGGGGTCGCTAAGAGTCGGACACGACTGAGCGACTTCACTTTCACTTTTCACTTTCATGCATTGGAGAAGGAAATGGCAGCCCACTCCAGTGTCCTTGCCTGGAGAATCCCAGGGACAGGGGAGCCTGGTGGGCTGCCGTCTATGGGGTCGCACAGAGTCGGACACGACTGAAATGACTTAGCAGCAGCAGCAGCAGCAGCAGTATATCAGGTTATCATGTCATCTCCAGAGTATTTTTAGTGTATTATGTACAATCCTTCTGGCTTCTCCTATTTCAGTCATATGTTCATGAGTAAAAAAAGCCTTATGAGAATGGGCTATTCTGTAGAATATTATGACAGTGGTCATTCTGGTCAAAGGGGCATATCCTTTTTGTTAAATGCAGGGATTTTATACACTTGGAAATTCCACCTCCTTAGTAAAGCAAGGACTCAACTCTGTGCTTTTATTTTTTTAATTAATTTATTTTTGGCTGCACTGGGTCTTCATTGCTTTTCTACGGCTTTCTCTAGTTGCAGCAAGCAGGGCTGCTCTTCCTCGTGGTGAGTGGCTGCTCATTGTGGTGGAGCACACTCTCTCGTTGTGGAGCACAGGCTCTAGACACACGGGTTTCCTTAGTTGTACCCGTGTGTCTACTGCTTTGGGACTGTAGGGCACAGACTCAGTAGTTGTGGCACACAGGCTTAATTGCTCTGAGATGTGTGGGATCTTCCTGAATGAGGGGTCGAACCTGTGACCTCTGCACTGGCGGGAGGATTCTTATCCACTGCGCCACCCTGGGAGTTCAGCTGTGTGCCATGTACTAGTTATGTGCCTTAAATTGTTTCACATACACATACACAGGGATAATTTAAGAGAATAAATGAACTATTTTTGGATGACAGAAATGTCTCCTGGATAAGCTCGGAGAAATTCACATTTGTAATTGAGTGTTTTTATAGTACAGCTGCTAATTTATAATGTACAAATGAATCTTTAAAACATAATACTATTGTGATTATATCTGTGCTGAAAACTATAGCACAGAAATATGAGCTTTGCAGCAAAACCTGAGTATTCATATACATAGATCATGGCTATTAACATTTTAAACAGGAAAGGAATACCTATCATTTTTTTCCAGAATAAAGTAAAAAATTACCTGAAGGGAGTATTTCTTCAAGAAAGCCAGAAAACAGGTATCACTGGGTGATGGCAGAATTTACATCTGTGGTTTTTCTTAAAAACATAAAACATAAGATTCTTACTTGACAGGGCAGAGCCCTGGACATTCAATCATTTCAGTCTTCTATTCATTCATTTTTCATCAAATATTTGTTGAGCCCATAATAGGATTTGTAGTGAGAGTTTCTAGTTGGAAGATGAGATTTTGGGTAGAGGTGGCCAAGGGTTTGATGTGCAGTCTTACCCCAGGATCATCTGATCTACATTACATGACAAATGAGCACAGAGCAGAGACTCGGCTATTTTCAGAAGTCATGGGTTGCAGATCAAAGCAAATTGCAGAGTCCCTGAAAAATGTAAGTTGAGGTTGCCAGACATCCTTATGAGGGCTCATTTGAGAAAAGAAGATAGCAGGTGTCTATCTTTTTCCATCTCTTACATGTTCTTCTCCCTTTTCATTCTGTGAGTTCTTTTTTTCTCTCTAGAAAAACTGCTCCAGTAAAGCTCATGTTTTGGCAAGGGTTTTCCTCCCAAAGTAAATCAAACCATTTCTTCTTGTACCTTTCCACTGCCTTTTACAAAGCTCGCTTTACCTGTCTTGACGCCACAGTGTTTTAACAGGAAACAGCTGCTACCTCCTTATCCCCCCTTTTCCAGCCCCCAGCCCCAAACTCTGCTGTGTCTTGGGAGGGTTCGCTGCCCTTAGTTTATCAGGCTGTGGTGTGGAGCCTTCTTCATAGCCCTCTGAGTCCGTTTTGTGCCCCAAAGCATAGAGGTGGCAGACACATTCTTCAGAGGAGTTTGTTTTTACTGAGACCTATCTGTAAAATTTTATCATGGGAAAATGCCAAATACTGCATTCATTTTGCTGATAGGTTTTCCACAATTTGTCTCTCTTTGTTCCTAAAGGACTTTGTTAAAACTAGTATAGTACTTATTAGCTATACTTTAGTTGTCTCTATGTTTCTCGTTAGATTATGAATTCTTTGAGAACAGGCTATTGTATACCTGGCTCTAAATGGATGTCTGCTAAATTTGAATTGATACTGTACTTTTGGACTGTATATTTGAGTTTTAGCAAGCTGCTTAATCAATGTTCCTTGATGTGAAGTTGTCCTTCACATTGGGCTGATTTTTAATTAAATTGTAAAATAAAAAGTTGTCACAGAGGTTAAGAACATTTCATTTCTATTTTTATATCCCATTTTGAGTGTCAGAAAATTTCAAACTCTTCTGCTGCCCCAGTTAAGGTAAGTAACACTGAGACTGAACAGACAGGACCCAGACTGAGACAGCATCCTGATTCATGCATGTGGTGGTTTTTTCTCTTTGGCAAAAATTTGCCTCAGGATAGGAAGGGCATTGGAGTTGTTTGAAAGAAGTCAGTGATCTCTGTATGTTGATGGATAGTTGTTTAATAGGTATGACTCATCTATTGATCAGGTTTGGAGGTAAATAGAAAAAAAAACCTCATATTGCTAAAAGGCTATCCTGTCCTGGTCATGTGAAAGGAAGGGAGGCTTGTTTGGTCCTAGTTCTGCATGACTTTTTAAAGCTAATGATAGGAAAGTTATTTTGAATAAAATTTTGGTATCAGTCAGTTCTATCTTTTGTCCCATCTTAAAAGCAAAATTAAATTTGCTTTTTAAAAAATCAAACCTGATACACTGCTTTGAGAGTGCTACATGAGTGCACAACTTTTTAGAGTCAACTCTGAACCTGAAACAATGAATAATTAGTGTTAAAAAGAATAAACTTGTTTGTGAAATGCTTAGTTTATGTGAGGGTGTTTCACAGAGTGGTTTTATAAAAGGATGCCTTTAATGACCTTGCCCTTTTAATTATAGGATGCTGGAATATGGTATTTATTCCACAAGGAACCTACGGGGGAATCCAGTGGATTGCAGCTCTTAGCAAAACCAGAACTCACTCCACTGGGAATATTTTATAACAACAGGGTCCATTCAAGTTTTAAGGTAGGTTCTTAAGTTTTAACAATCAGTATGTATAATTTACAGGGTAAAGGATGGACTACTGTGATTACAACTGAGAGATGTTAATACTAGTTAGAACTTGTCATCAGAGAATGTAATTTGTGATTAAAAAAGCTGACACCTAATCCTGCCACATTCAGGATGTATAGACAGCTTTCTGTTTATATACACACAGAAATATACGCTGTGGCACACATGTACATACAATCTGAATAATTATAATAGTGGACTTGAACCATGAGTCCTCATCCTCTTTCCTTCTGCTCACTTTCCTTCCAATCTTTAATATCATTGCATGTTTCTAAGGATGTACACATTAGTGTATTATATGCTTTTGGGACTTAAAAAGCATATTTTCTCTCTTCTTTCAGTGTTGATGGAATGTCCTATTGGACATTTAATATAGTTATGTAAACAGTGAAATATTGTTTAAGAGTATTTGACCTAATTTAAAATGATATGTAGGTCAAATAGATGAAAGGCCATTTAAGAACTCTAATTCTCATGATAATTGATACTTAACCTCCTTGGTGATAAAACACATCTGGTTCCTTTTGTACTCTTGAGGCATCTTGATATTTTTATCGTGTGATACAGTGCCCAGATTCTTTCCTCTGATGTGATCCACATCAAAGTTCAATTAATAATTTCCCTTTATGAAACTCAGAGGATCCTTTAAAAACCTAAGTGTGATATAATTTGAAGAACTTAGAATCACTTGATGAAGACTTGAGAGGAAAAAACTTTACACAGAATTGTGATATTTATGAACTGAATAATTGATTAAGAGTGGTAATAATTGAAAAAAAAAAAAAGAGTGGTAATAATTGAAAACAGCACTTCAAAGTAGAAGTCCTCAAAATTTTTAAATTATTAGTGGTATTACAAAAAGCACGTCATTCTAATTAATTTTTTAATGTCATATACCATGAGGAAATTTAGTATTCTACTATGTCAATTTAAAATAAAAGATATTAGATCTGAATAAAGGGTGGATTATTAGATTTTAAATTTAAATTTGTTAAATTTGAGACTATAGTATTCTTTCTTAAAATGCAGTTGATTACATAACCTTTATTAAAATCCCATTGTCTTGATTCTTAAGCATACTGACTCTGCATCATCTGGCACTTGCTTCTCTTTAGTCTTCTTCCTTACCTTGCCTTCCTCCATATATTTCCTGATAGTCCATCTAAGATTCTTCCCCCCTCAGATATGTCACGCTTTCTCTCATCCCCAGAAGTTTTGTACAAATGACTCCCTGGAGTGATTTCCTCTGGGCTCTTTAGATGTTTCCCACCTCCTCCCTGCCCTTCAATCTCTGACCTGGTCTTCTGTGTGGCTGGTTTCTTCAAGTGTCAGCTTTCGGATGTCACTTCTTTTAGGAGACATTCCCTGAATTCACTCTCCTGCCTTCATAGAATGTCTCATCTTGGTGCCTTTCTTATGTGCTGCCAAAGCAGCATCTATTTCCTTCATTATATGCTTACTATATTGTTTTGTAATTGTTTATTTAATTGCCTATCTTCCTCCTCATTTATGGAGTAACAGCAAAGACCATGGTTTTCTGGGTGACACATAATTCTTGGTGACCCCCAAGATGGGCACTAAAGAAAGGTTTGACCAAATGAGTAGAATTATTTAAAAAAAAAAAAACAATAAAGGAGCCATTTTTGTAATACCTTTGTTTGGCTGTTTACTTCTTCTCTCTCCATTTTTGGTAGATGTGATAAGCTAAAACTTATTTTCATGTATCCTATATGTCATTATAACTTGGGATTTATATTCATTTCAGTCCATTATTATGTTTTCCAGGCTGGCTTATTTATTGACAAAGGTGTCAAAACAACCAATGCTAGTGCTGCTGACCCAAGGGAGTACCTCTGTTTGGATAACAGTGCAAGGTAGAACTGGTCCTTTTAAGTCACACTTGAGCCATATCTTGCCAAAGTAAAACTTTCTGAGTTGAGCCATTACCCTCTCCTCCAGTAACATAGTTAAACTGAAGTTTTCAAGGTTTGTAGGAGGATTTTGAAAAAACATTTATTTTGCTATTTTAGGTACTGTGGCTGGGATTTTTATCTTAGTGAGATGCCAAAGAAATTGCTGCTTCTCCTTTTGACAGTTGCAAATTGATGTTAGAAAGAGTTGTAGAAAGAGAAATAAAAAGAAGAGAGATATGTTGAAAAAGGGTCCAAATTTGGCCTACAGTAGAATATGATTCATCGAAAAACAAGCTAAGATGTTTTAATATAATCCCCGAAAACCAAAGAATATGTAATTTATTGTTAGTGGTCAAAATGGAATGTTGCATTAAATCTATTTCAAAGGGAAAAGTCTCAAACTTGATCAAGCTAGTTCTGGTTCAGTGGTTTGTAGTCTCAGATTCACATCATAGCTGGGCTCTTTGTTACTCTCCTTTATAACCACAAAATGTGATTGGAATATGGATCAGCATTTCAACAAAGTTTTTTTTTTTTTTTTTAAACATCCTGTAAATGAGCCAAAATAAATAAAATGTGTCCAGTGGAAACAAAATTTTCCGGAAGGTGGCAACTTAAGGTCATATTCAGTAGAAACTGTGTATGACCTTAAGTTGCCATTTCTTCTGGGAAATTTTGTTTCTATTGGAGACATTTAATTTATGTTGCCTCATATACTACTCATATTTTCCAGGTGGCTCAGTGGTAAAGAATCTGCCTGCCAATGCAGGAGACGTAGGAGACGGGGGTTTGATTCCTGAGTCAAAAAGATCCCCTGGAAGAGGAAATGGCAACCTACTGCAGTATTCTTTCCTGGGAAATCCCATGGACAGATGAGCCTGGTGGGCTACAGTCTATGGGGTTGCAAGAGTCAGACATAACTGAATGATTGAGCATGAGCATGATATGAGTCAAAATAAATAAAATGTCTCCAATGGAAACAAAATTTTCTGGAAAAGATGACAACTTAAGGTCATATTTAGTAGAAGCTGTGTGTGTGTTATTTTTCTATACTTCAGATGGATTGACCAACTAAAGGATTTGAAAAGGTGCTAGGTTTAATAGACTCTGTTTGCAGTCATTTAAGAAAAGGATGCCAGGTGCTGTTGTTCACAAAGAAAGAAAGTAGGAGCCACACTGTAGGTTGGTGAAGCAGAATCATCGTGACACAGTATAAAAGGTCAAGAGAAAACATGAATGTCACTCAGTCATGTTCGACTTTTTGTAACCCCATGGACGGGGGAGCCCAGCAGGCTCCCCCGTCCATGGAATTCTCCAAGCAAGAATACTGAAGTGGATTGCCATTCCCTTCTCCAGAGGATCTTCCCAACCCAGGGATTGAACCCAGGTCTCTTGCAATGCAGGCAAATTCTTTACCATTTGAGCCACCGTGGGTGGCACTTAAAGAAAAGGATGCCAGGTGTTGTTCACAAGGGAATAAAGTAGGAGCCACACTTTAGGTCAGTGAAGCAGAATCCTTGTGACACAGTAAAAGTGGGGAAATAAGTTAGTAAAACTACTCATCATGAAAGATCAAGTTAAGCCTGAAAAATATTAAAGCAATGCTCAGATAATGTTTGAGAAGTGGAGAAATTGTCAGTATTGTTTAAATAAAACTCAGGGTACTAGACACTTAATAGCTGAGCAAGATATGACGTAGAAAAAGAGGAGATAAACTTGGGATGAAAAAGGAGCATATAGATGGCAATAAATTATGAACCAAAAAGAGACTATTAACTGACAAAACAGAGGAATCTTGCTAGAAGATCACTACTGTTTTTTGAGAGTTTGTTATAACTAGTAGAACTAGTAATGTGTGCTTTGCTAAGGTATTAATAGTATTAGCCAAAAAAATCTTTACATAAAACACAATCGATTATATGTGTGTATATGAATGGATGAATGAAGAAAATATATTTCAGAATCTATTGATGTTTTCATTATACTTGACAATAAAACAAATCTATTCATAATGGCCTAAGAAGCTCTCTACCCTGTGTATGCATGTCTGATATCTTGATAGTCATAATCTTTTCTGGGCTCTCTATACTTTTCTCACTAGTTTATAAAGCATACATGTTGGTAAGGAGTTAGATTCCATTTGGAAGTTGTCATTGAAAAGAACTGATTGTAGAAGAGTAACAAGACATTTGGCAGCTAGTATATACATTTAATTTTGTATAAACTGATGAATAAAATATGCCCACATGCATTCATGCAGTCCAGACATGACTAAAAATGATGACACTCAAACACAAATGAATAATAAGTCAGCTCATGAATTAAACATCCAGTTCATGGGATTCAGAAGGTATTTAATGTGTTCATCAAAGGGGAAGTTGACTTAATAGTTAATCAGATGAGTCTTTGCTTGTATCTTTAAGATGTGAAATTACAGGAATCCAAAGATAGAATATTTTAACTCCAGAAAGCTCTCAGGTTAAGACAGGGAAGTTTCATCTAAGAGAGTAAAAGAACATGAAAACCAACTAGTACATTTAAAGCAGAATACAAGTGAGAGTCTGGAAGTGTGCTGAAGGCTCATAAATTGAAGGGGATGGAAAATTAGCTGCATTTTCTACATACTAAGTGGGAAGGAGGATGAAAAATAAAGGGTATTTAAGCAAGTGGTCAACGATTTATATGGATAGGAATTTCAGAAAAAGTGAGATGGCTACAGCAGAAAATTAGATGTTGCTTTATTGTATTTTTTTTTTTTTTTGGCTTTCTTTTAGCACATTATGTAGTTTGTTTCCAGAACTGTTCCATCTGCTTGATATTATGTAATGACTGTAAAGCTGTTTGGCAGCAGCTACAATGCCAGAAGAGTGGGTGATGGCTCAGTCTTTTTACACCATAGGTCAGAGCTATTTAGTGTAAGGGGTCACATCCACAATCTAAAGGGTGGGTGGAGTGCTTTCTAGAGTGATGTCCTTATTATCTGTTCTCCATGATTCTGTCACCAAGGAGCAGCTAGTGACCAGTTAAAAAGTGAAATTCGATTATATCATGCTCTGATTCCATGTTTCTGACAACTTTCCATCACACTTATTGATCCACCTACTTTATTCAGGTATGATTGACATGTAAAAAGCTGTGCATATGTAATGTCAAGAACTCAGTAAGTTTGGAAATAAACAAACATCCATGAACCATCAAGGGCAAAGTTTCCTTCTGTCTCCTTTATGGACATCATTTTATGAAGTAAAACATTAGTTTTTTGTCAAAAGATCTATAGACTAGCTCTCCAGAATTTATTTATCATATAAAACTAAAGCCTTTATACCCTTTGATCATCACCTCCGCATTTCCTCCTCCCTCCAGCCCCTGGCACTGCCATTCTACTTTTCCCATTGCATTTAGAATAAAGAACCAAATCCTTGCCTGAAACATGCCTTCCTCTCTGTCCTCTTCGTCTTGCTTTGAACTTAGCAGCCAACCTGCTTGTTGTTCTTGGACATGCCAAGCTCGCTCATGCCTTTGCACTTGCTGCTTTCTGGGCATAGCTGCTTCTCCCATCGTAACATCTGTCTTTGGTGAGCACTACCATGTCCCAGCGACTTGCACAGTAGCATTTGTGCAAATGATACTTCATGATTATATGATTGAAGCATCTCAACTTGCTGAATGGGTTTTTGTAAAGCTGTCTAGTTTTTCTCTGTCCACCTCCCAGCTTTGTAAGATTATGATGGAAGTGATCTTATTTTAAGTTAGGAGGCCTTCTGAAATTATTTGAGCTGTTACACTTAACAGTTTTTGACACCAGTTTTTTTTTTCTTGGTCTTTTCATTAAGATCCTTGTAAATGTTTTAGGAAGAGAAAGAAAAAATAAAATTCAGTCTTTATAACTAATAAGTTGATGAAATACAGTCTACTTTTAAAAGTGCTGATATTTTTTATATTTTTATTATAATAGATTTACAGTATATTAGTGTCAAATGTACAACTATTCGGTATTTTTATAGATTATACTTCACTTAAATTTATTACGAAATAATGGCTTCATTTCCCTGTGCTGTATGGTATATATATCCTTGTTGCTTGGGTTGCCATTTCCTCCAGAGGATCTTCCCCACCCAGGGATTGAACCTGTGTTGCTTATGTCACCTGCCTTGGCATGCGGGTTCTTTACCACTAGCACCACATGAGAAGCCCTGTTTATCTTATACATAGTAGTTTATATCTCTTAATACCACTATCTGCTCCCTCTTCCCTTCTCTCCACACTGGTAACTACTCATAACTACTCCTTTGTTCTCTGTATCTGTGAATCTGTTTCTTTTTTGTTACATACATTTGTTTCATTTTTTAGATTACACATATAAGTGATAATGTGGAGCATTTATTTGTCTTTCTTTGTCTGACTTATGTCACTAAACAATACCTTCTAGGTCCATCCACATCACAGATGGCAAAATTTCATTTTTTATGGCTGAGTAATATTCTATAAATATAATCTCTTTTAAATTTAGGCATTTTAAAGATATTGAACCCAGATTTCGCTCTATATCTGAAACATTTCACCAACATACAACTCAAATAATACTCTGGTTCACAGATATGTATGTTGAAATATATGATTAATTTACTCAGTAAGTTTATTTTAATATCATGTAACTTAAGAATTTGTGAAAACTGCTATATTTCTTAGTTTGAGGTTTTTTGTTTATTTTTGAAATGCTTTTAGTGCTTGGAATGTTCTGTAATGTCCACTCTATAAGATAAATTGATGAAAAACAAACTGAAATATGAAATCAGTTCTCTGCAAATTTGTGATTTTTTTTTTTTTTCAGTATTTTAAATGCAGATATTAAGTTGTATCTTGGTGTTTTTGTCTTGTTTTGATCAAACTTGAATCTTGCTTTTTGACACTTAAGCTTACAGTTTTATTTTTTTTTCTTATAATTTTAAATAGCTGTTTCCCATTCATTACTCTTTAAAAGTCTCTTTTTTTTTTCTCCCAACCCTAAGGTTTCGGCCTCATGAGGATGCAGACCCTGAGAAGCCACGTGTTGCTGCTTTGATTGACAGGCTCATTGCTTTTAAAAACAATGACAACGGAGCTTGGGTTAGAGGCGGAGACATTGTTGTTCAGAATTCAGCGTGGGTATTCTCTCTGAAGTTATTATCTGATGGCACTGACGTATTTATTTTTTAAGGCTATTTTAAAAACTCAGTAGACCAAAAAGCACAGTGGTGGTTTCTGGAATCATAGTATCATTACTAATAGACAGGACAAGCTCTGAGGAAGTATGTTAACCAACTGCAAATGTTTGGAATCGTCTCATTCTGCTGCTGTTATTGGAACTGAACTTGTCTGGTGACATGAGAGCTTTTTGATGAGATTAAACAGAAACTGGGACTTTATATAACAAACATGGTCTATGTCAGAGAACTAAATAAAGATTTCGAAACTACCTGCACTTTTTTCCTTCCTCTTGGAAACTGTTTCATGATGCTCTTCCACTGCCATCCAAAACAAAAGTTGAATTCCACCTTAATAAGTCTGTTGACTTATGTTTTAACATGACTTGAGGCAGTAAGCCTCTCACTTATTTTCCATTTGTTTCTTTTAGGAGAAGCCTGAGGTATGTCGAGCTAAGATTTGGTGTTCAGGAGTTTAGAAAAATGTTTTTTTCTGGCTGATACTGACGTTAGTTGCTTGGTTTTTATCATGAAAAAAACTGATGCTGTATAAAATCTGTAGAAATAATTTGGAATTAATAGTGAAAAGTTTTGAAGAGAATGCTATGATCTAATTGATAAAAATTAGTCATTCCTTGGTATTCATGGGGGATCAGTTTCAGGACCCCAATGGGTACTAAAATCTTGACGCTCAAGATCCTTATATAAAATGTTATAGCATTCAGTATTTGCATATAACCTATATACATCCTTCTATATACCATAAATCATCTCTAGAGTACTCATACTCAAGACTGTAAATGCTACCTAAATAGTTGTAAATACAGTGTAAATGCTATGTAAATAGTTGCCAGCACTGGACAAAGTTTTGATTTTTGGAGTTTTCTGGAATTTAAAAAAATATTTCTTATCCACAGTTGGTTGAATCTGTGGATGCAGAACACACAGATATGGGAGCCAAACTAATGATAAAAATTGTAAATGCAGGTTTTTAACACATCTTCTCTTTGGGTTTCCGTGGCGGCTCAGACGGTAAAGAATCTGCCTGCAATGCAGGAGACCCGGGTTTGGTCCCTGGATTGGGGAGATCCCCTGGAGAAAGGGATGGCTACCCACTTCAGTACTCTTGCCTGGAAAATTCCATGGACAGAGGAGCCTGGTGGGCTACAGTCCATGAGGTTGCAAAGAGTTGGACACGACTGAGTGACTAACACTTTCACTTTTCATGTGCTCTTTACTCTGTGCCAGATGCCGTTCTAAATAGTTGAAATGAATTAGCATTTTAATGCTTTCAGATACCCTAGGAGGAAGCTTATAGTGTCATTTCAACCTTTAGGTGAGAAAACTGAGGCACACACAGGTGATTTGCCCAAGGTCACACAGCTAGTAATTGGCAAACCTGAGATTCAAACCAGGTTCTTTTATTGTGGAGACTATGCTTTTAGTTATTGGAAAGTGAAATTTTTGTGTGGTCTTGGAGAGTAAATACTATTGGAACTTCTTGAATGTTATGACAATTAAATACTGAGGGAATTACCTCTTCTTACATGATGTGATAAATTAAAATGTTCCTTCATTCTCTTTAGATTTGCAGACAATGGAATAGGACTGACCTTTGCCAGGTTTGTAATTACTTAAAAAATATTTATCTGTTTATTTTAAAGTTGTAAGGTAAAATAACCTTATTATTATTTTTTTTGATAGCACAGGAATGCTGTATCATTTATTAACATTAAAAAAATAGCACTCACTTCTTGATGCCACTAGAGGGCCAAAAATACATTTTTATTGATTAATTGAATTCACACCAAAGTAGGAGGTTGCTCTGGCTGGAATTGCACAGAAGGGTAGGCCCATCGTATTTTTTGCTTAGAAGAAATCCCTTGAACTTTCGATTAGAGATCTTAAAAAGTAGGGGAATAAAGAGGAAGGGAGTAAAAGTTGGAAGCAAATTAAATATTTTCTTTCTTAAAAGTTGGTCTCCTTTCACAGTGGTCCTTAAGAACTGAACTTTTTATGTTAAATATTTTTCCCCAGATAACAGTTACTCTCTTGCCCATCTTAAACATGTATGTCATCTCATTGTTCTGTTCAGAGCAAGTTTAGTCTCCTCATTTGCAATATTGTTGCTTGAGACTAAAATAATTAGTTGTTGCTGCTAAATTAAATCTCATTTGTTTGTCTAATTTGCAAACCACATATTAATTTATAAGAGGTATACTCACAATTTAGAGGCACCTTTTGATGACTCACTAATATGTATTTAAGAAGCTGCTGGCTACATTGAAAACTTTTAGGTTTTTGAAGTTATAGCTTGCCTTTCTGTGTGATTAATGATTATTCTTATTTTTAACAGTGATGGAAGCTTCCCAAGTGATGAAGGTTCCAGCCAAGAGGTATCTGAATCTCTCTTTGTTGGGGAGAGCAGGAATTACGGCTTTCAGGGTGGTCAGAACAAGTATGTAGGCACTGGAGGGATAGACCTGAAGCCTCGGACATTACCTAGGAACAGGTGAGCATTGTTTTATCTGAGGAATGTTACCTTTAAACAGTAAATGAAGCTCTAACCCTTACAGAAGTTTCCATAATGATCCTGAATGGATTCCCACTGTGACAATTTTCCCACCATATTTACTATTATTAAAATGATTCATGTTATTATTGCTATTTCTATTGTATGTATTATTCTCTGGGATTCTGGAACATTAACTATTTAACATTATATATAGATGTTGTTATCAGTTTTATGGGGCTTCCCTCAGTGGTAAAGAAGCCACCTGCAATGTGAGAGCCCTGGGTTTGATCCCTGGATCAGGAAGATCCCCTGAAGAAGGGAATAGCTACCCACTCCAGTATTCCTTCCTGGGAAATTCCATGGACAGAGAAGCCTCACCGGCTACAGTCCACGGGGTCACAAGAGTCAGACATGACGTACCAACTACACCACCATATCAGTTTTATAATGAAGGAAACTATCCTGTTTCTCCTTCTTGGATAAGGTCTTATGTAAGCTGGTAGTTTTTTTTTTTCTTTTTCCCTTTCTTGAGCCACAGAAAGTCACCAAACCATAAACTATGGACATCAAATCAGTTTTTCCTTAATATGGTGATGTTGGTTTTAAGGAATAGCCACTGGAAAAAAGAAATTACTTACTGAAAAGAGGCCTAGAAAATGAGTTGATAGATGCCAAAGCTAACTCAGAACCTAACTAGCTTTATAATAAACAATGTTTCAGATGTTGAAAGGGTATGGGGTAGACTTTTGGCATGTTTTCTGTCAAAATAATCACAGTCATTAAAATAGTACTTAGCACTATAAGGATTCTTTAGAACTTTTGGGAAACTATTACCTAATTAATCTGTACCTCAGCTCTGAGACACAGTTTAGAGTTGTTGTCATTTTACTTGTAAGAAAACCAGGTAGAGAAAAATGAGTGTTCTAAAGTCCTTACATCAGAGCTAATGTCAGATTTCATTAAGCATCAGTCCCCTTAGAGCTATCCACTGTGTCTGGATATTGGGCTAGGACAGGTCAGCGGGGTAAGGCGATCAGACAGGTGACTCTGGGGGACAGGTGGTGAATATTGGCCAAAGGGCTTAAGTAACTTCTAGCAAAGGGCAGCTTATCCTTGGCCTGTCTCCCCGGTGCTTATTCTTGGGAAATACTAAATGTCTTTACTACATGCTACACTATGTGTAGAACTTCTTTTAGTCAGACCGTGGAAGCCACTAGGAGAGGAACTTCATGGATTTTTAATAGTTAACATTTACTAAATGTTTGTTGTGTATCAGGCCCTGTTCTGAATATTTTATTATTCACTTAATCCTTGTAAGCCTGGTGAGGTAGGTGTTGTCATCGTCCTGCTTTATAAATGAGCAACTTACTAAAAGTAGCTAATGTGGAACTCAAAACCTGTCAGTTTGGCTTCAGTGCTTTGCTCTTCGCAATTAAGGCAAAGCTGCCTCTTCTAATATGTAAGTTAAAGGCAAAAAAAAAGCTGTATTAGTTGGGTATGGGCTCCAGTAAAAAGGTGGGCAATTCAATTTCATTATTTTTATTTTACACTGGCCTCCAGTTTTATTTCAAAATACTGTTGCTTCTGTGCTAGGGAGGAATTTTTGAAACAAAGATTGCTGGTTGGTCAATGGGCCTAATTTTTATTTTACTGTATCTTTGCAGCCTTTTCTGTGGCAGAGGACCATTTTGCGATATATTCTTGGATACACAAAGATAGGCATAGATTTTTAACCAGATTATTTGACTTTCTTGCTAGTATATATGATTTTTTATTGTGAAACACTGCCAAGTTGTAAACTAATTAGTTGCTATAGAAGTCCTCTGCAATGCCATTAAAAACCTAATAGGGGAAAAACCTAAGAGATCCAGAATATTATGGGGTTTGTACATTAATTATGGTTAATAACATATCATTAGTAAGTTAAGGAGCTTATGTTTGGGCAGAAAGCAGTAAAATGAATAAAATGAATTTCTCAATCCAGCTACAGTAAGCCTTGCAGACTTGTACTTTTGTACTTTTAGGTATATCATTTCTCCTTATTATTGTCATTTAGGGACTTGAAAGGAGGTCTCTCTCATTAAGCACAGATTTGTCTTCTTGTGCTAGAGGTTTCAGAACTAAAGCTAAATGGTATGAGTTATCAAAGAAAAGATCTCAACGGCGTTGATTCAAGGAAGCAGAGTCACTTCTTGGAGAGGCCTTCGCTGTATCCAAAATAGCATGTCTGTCCTACTCAAGTCTGTTACTATATCTTTCCTTTTCTCATGCTCTTATCTGAAATTACCCATTGTGTTTTTGTTTGCCTTTCTCACTGCACTATAGGTTTCATTAGATTGGAGATCTTGCTTCATTAGCACTGTATCCTAGAATTGTACTTATTATATATGGGATATTTAACAGTATTTATCAAACAGATATGTAAGTGAAATGCTGTTAAACAGATGGGCCCATACGCATTAAACAAAATTTTGTATTTCAACAGGACATTTCCAATTAGAGGCTTTCAGATCTATGATGGGCCCATACATCTCACCAGGTGCACTTTCAAAAAATATGTGCCAACTTTAGATAGATATACCAGTGCTATTGGCTTCCTCATGAAGAATTCCTGGCAGATAACCCCCAGAAATAACATCTCCCTCGTGAGGTTTGGTCCACATGTAAGTACGTTCTTATGGTTCCTATACAGTGACTATGGTACCAAGCGGAGGGGTGGCATGTTTCCAGAGAAAGAAACACAAAGATAGGATTTGCACTGAGTTTTAGGATTGGGAGGTGAATTCTATGCAAGAGTAACTCCTGATTTCAGGTACTCTGTCCTGCTGAGTTTAGGGTGAGAACCGAAGTCCCATGTGACCTAGAGTATTTTTGATATTCTGGTGATATCCTCAAAGGGAAAATGACTTAATGTGATGATACAGTGGTGGGAATTGTAGAATTTCATAGGAATAAGAGGACGTATGATTTTGAGGAATTCACTATAATAATCCATAAAGAGATTTGGGTTTTACCTGGTATTTTACTTTTCTGAGGTCTATTCTTCTGGGGAGCTGGAGAACAAAAGATTGGGAAAGAAGAGAAATACTGGGGTGATAGGAAACAAATTGGGTTATTTCTGATATAAACTATTGGACTATTTCTATGAAGATTGCAAAAAAGACTTAGAAATAATTGTTTACAATACAGTAGGCCACAGAAATCATTTTCTCAGTAGTTTCACCAGTACCCTCCTTACCATCAATACATGGGCCAATCTGATTATATACCCCCAGCCTCTTCATCTTGCCACTTCTAAGATGACAGTGGTGTAGAGATTGAGTCTCAGACCATCTTGCTTTCTGCTTCCAGGCGCCACAATTGTAAAGTGACTCATAGTTTTGTCATTAATGTCCATAGGCAAACTCTGTGGTTCCTCAGTTTAAAAGAGAACTTAGGTTAGTTTACCAAAGTCTGTAACTGGTTTTTGTGAATAGCCGAGGCATGAAACAGAGGCACAGGTGCAAATTGATTGACTGGTTCTCTTCTAGACTGCATAACTCCAGGGGAAGAGAAAGAGCTACACTGTGGCCAGGGTTGCATGTAAACAGGGTGGGTCTTGGATTGCCTCTCCATTGTGGAGGTTGGCAGCTCACTTACAGCCTGTATGTTCTCTCCAGCCATAGAGTTTAGTGATCACTGACATGGTCATATTGAAAAAACAGTTTTTAGATATTAAATTTGTTGCAGAGTTTGAGTTCTCGCAGCCTAAGAGAATCCGTGCTGTTTAAGGCCGGTGTTTCATCAGCCTGGAATTTTCTAATGTGCTGATGCTCTGGAACCATTTGTGAAGGGTATGTTCCGCAAATTTGTTCTTCCTAAAAAGATGGACAATATGTCCAAGACTTTAAGATTTAACCGTGGGAGGTATAAATGAAGAGAGAAAAGAGTCTAGAACTAAGAACTTAGAACAATTTGTCCCACACATCACTGACTTTCCATTGAGTTGCTTATCATTTAGATGTTCAGTTGCTTTTAACACTCGCCAGGGCAATGAGTGCATAAAAGCATTGTAAGGTGTATCTGCATGGTTTGAATAACATTAGCCTGGAGGGCTATAGTCCATAGGGTTGCAAAGAGTCAGACACAACTGAAGCAACTTAGCATGCACCCAGATTATAAATCATGTAACCTGTAGCCTGCTTTGTAGCTAGCTATGTACTATGTGTTTGATAAAGACATTGAATTAATGTTACCCAACATGAAAATTACTAAGCTGGACTTAGTCTTTGTTGAGTAGAGGAAAAAAAAAACAGACACGTTTCAACAGGTTCTAATGAGTCCAGTGGTCAGGCAACCATACCAAGACAACGTTTATATTGTTTCAGTTTGGAACTGTACTTATTTTTTGGTGGCAGGAGTCATTCACAAGTTAACTAAAACATTTGAAATAAAATGAAATGATTAGCTCAGAAGATCGAACTTGTAATATATTTTAATTTAATTGAGGTATAATTTGCATACAGGGAGATGCAGAGATCTTGAGTGAAAAGTTTTTAAGTTTTAACAAATACATATGACTACATAGTTCCTCTTTCCACAACTATTCTGGTTTCTGTTACCATGAATCCGTTTTATCTGGGGAACAGGTAATCATTTTTAAGTTGAAAAAAGGGAAAACATCAAAGATGAAGTTGAATGCTTATTGCCTGAACTAAGGCTTCAGGAAGTATTTTTTCCCCATTCATGTCATAATTAATCAAAAATGTTGGTTGACAACTGTGCTGTGGCTCAGAACTGCATGGTCTTAAAGGAATTGTAATGAGCTGTAATTAGTGTGAAGTTGGGTTCTTGTCGGGGACGCCGGGTAACATGGCCGGAGCCCTCACGGTGGGATGTTCTTGTTTTTCACCACTCTCAGGTCTCTCTTAATGTATTCTTTGGAAAGCCTGGCCCGTGGTTTGAAGACTGCGAGCTCGATGGTGATAAGAACTCCATATTCCATGACATTGATGGCTCTGTGACAGGATACAGGGATGCTTATGTGGGAAGAATGGACAACTACCTGATCCGCCATCCAAGCTGTGTAAACGTTACCAAATGGAATGCAGTGGTGTGCAGCGGGAGCTACGCCCAGGTAGGCCAGAATGCCTGTGATACCTGATTTCTCCTCACTGTTTCTGTGAGGAGTACTTTTTAGGTCTTCAGGCTGATGGATACTTCTCAAAGCATGATTTTTTTTAAAGAAGTAAAAAAAAAGAAAATGTTCATTCAAAATCGTAGACTCATAGAATTTTATTTAAAGTTCCCCCACTACAAACCGATTTAAAAGTGGAAAAGTGAGCCCAAGAGAAGTAGGATTAATTTGCACTTGGTTAAATATGGCTGGGAGATGGCTGGGGTGAGAAACCACATTTCCTGAGTCTTAGGCCAGGTTTTCTGACTGTGCTACAGCTGTGCCCCCTGAGAAGGCGTTTCATTCTTTGCTTGTAGGGTTACTGAGTGCTGAGTTGCTTCAGTTGTGTCCAACTCTTTGCAAGCCTGTGGACTGTAGCCTATCAGGCTCCTCTGTCCATGGGATTCTCCAGGAAAGAATGTTGGAGTGGGTTGCCATTCTCTCCTCCAGGGGATCTTCCCAACCCAGGGATTGAACCCATGTCTGTTACAGCTCCTGTATTGGCAGGTGGGTTCTTTACCACAAGTGCTACCTGGGAATCCCTTCAGGGTTATTATCTCTATTTATTACTAAATTAGGGAATCTGACTTGTGAGGCAGAATGTCAGTAGGTCACATGGAAAGTAATATATTCTCAGAAACAGAGTTGAGAATTGGAAATGAGTGGACAAGGAAGGAATCCAAGGAAATTCTGCAAATCATTATATATCTATGAAAATACGAAGGAGATGCTATAGATTGGGAAACACTTCTTTGAAAACATTGAAGCTGGTGTGCATTTATTAACTGGATGTCAAGTATAAGAGGATGGAATACTTTGGGAGGTATTATGTTCAGAAAATAGATGCTGGAACTAGACCTCATGGCTTTGAATCCTGTTATTTTCTTAAATACGAGATGTGTAAGTTAATTAACTGCTCTGTGCCTCTGCACAGTGAGGGTAATATTAGATTCTTTCATATGTGGCTGTTGTGAAGATAGAATGCATGAGTACTGATAATACATTTCACCCATGGCCTGGCACATAGTGAAGTGCTTGCTGCAATTAGTATTATTTGAAGAACAGGGCTCTAAGTTGCAAAGATGATTTTAATAGTGATATTTTGGATGGATAGAAGATTGCAGAATGAAGGTACCAGTTGCCCAGAATTTTCAAGAGAGCAGGATTTTGTTTCCATATTTTAGATAATTACATGGTCATATTTAATAATAAATGTTGAGGGACATAAAAGAATAAAGGATAAGGATAACTGGGACATGAAGAGGAGAATTAGAGGAAGAGCATGGGCTCTGATAGTCTCAAAGGCAAGAAAGAAGCCTCCCTTGCTGATGTGCTGCTGAATTCTCTTATTTGTAGGATGGGTTTTTCCTGGGGAATGACCAGTTTGGTGATGGAGCATGTTTGCTGAACTCTGGCTACTTTACCCAGCAAGTGTGTGTTTGTGGCTCCTGCTTTTCAATTTCTTGACCCTCTGGAGCCTTATGGTTTCTGCCATTTAATAAGCCTTCTGTAGTGGGAGCTTCTTGAAGCAGATTTCTTTGTTACTCTTCAGACTTTGAATAATGATTGTTTAAGAATGCTATGATTCTTAAATTATATAAAAAAAAAACAGCTTCAAAAAGATTCTCAATAGACAAGACAAAGGGCTTAAGGGGGATAAGGATTAGAGAGATTCTTCTGGCTTATTTTAATGGAATACTAGCCTCTTTGTTGTGGGATTTCTCATCCCCATGGGAGCAAGAGGAACCATACTTGCCTGAGTTCCAGGAAGGACCAGGAAAGGATGGAGAATTAATTATAGTAAAAAATAAAGAAGAAAAGAATGTGGTTAAAAATGTGATTTATTTTTTCATTCATTTTATTCTTAACCAGAATTGCCCTCTGAAATTAAGTAGACTCATTAATGCCTAAGAAGATGTAGAAATTCGAGAATTAAAATAAAACAAAAATAAGAAGCTTTTAAATTCTTTAATAGCTACAGTTGTAGTTAAATTGCTAGCCATGTGTATTCAAAAGTACATGTATCTGTTTGTCTTTCTTAATGTGGTATGTACTCACTAATGAAGACTTTATATTTTATTTTAAATGTCTCTGTAATCTGGATTTTATATACTTGAGAATGTGAACCTGATACTTCTGTCTTACAAAGCAAAGTAGTAATTCTATTTTTTTTTTTTTTTTTTTTGGGTTGTTGTTGTTTGTTTAATCCTGCCCATGAAGTTCTGGGAATGGTAAGATAGAAATTTTCTCCTGAGGATTTGAAATTTGGGCTGGGAGCCCAGATCTACAGCCCTTTGTTGTTCCTTGGATGATATATAATACTGTACATTTTTAGCAAAAATTAGAAACAACTGTATCTCAAGATAGAATAATCATTATTTAGCTATTTGTAAATATTTTTAATGGCATGTCTGCTTTTTGCTGACCCAAGGATAAAGGTACTCAAGAAGAAAGGTGGTATCATAAGGAGCATGCTGTACTGTTCTGTGCTTACTGCTCAGTTGTGTCTGACTCTTTGCGACCCCATGGACTGTAGCCCGCCAGGCACCTCTGTCCATGGGGATTCTCCAGGCAAGAAGACTGGAGCGGGTTGCCATGCCCTTCTCCAGGAGATCTTTCCAACCCAGGGATCGAACCTGGGTCTCCCACATTGCAGGCAGATTCTTTACCGACGGAGCCACCAGGGAAGCCCACGAATACTAGAGTGGGTAGTCTGTCCCTTCTCCAGGGGGTCTTCCCGACCCAGAAACTGAACCAGGGTCTCCTGCATTGCAGGCGAATTCTTTACCAGCTGAGCTACCAGGGAAGCCCTCATAAGGAGCATATGCCACCTCAAATCCTTAGATTCAGAAGAAGGCAGGTTTTAGATATGTGTTTGGGGTGGGGTGTGTATTCTATTATACTTTATATGTAACCTTTATATAACCTCTTATTGGGTGGGCCAAAAAGTTCATTTGGGTTTTTCTGTTGCGATGTAATGAAAAAACCCTGAAAGAAGTTTTTGGTCAACCCAATGTAATGAAGTACAGGTCACATGTAAACATTTAAATAAACAGTAGGTAAATATAATATATTAAACACATATATTTAAATGAAGACAATCAGTCTCAAACTATATATTTCCTATCTGTATTTTAATCTTTACATGGTGTAAGTAGGGACAAGTTGTATAGAAATAGTCAAACACAAATGAGAGTTCAGACTTTCTGGCTCAAAGAATTTATAATTAAGGAATCACTATGGACAAAACTGTGGAATAGAGAAACAGAAAACAGAGAAGTTTGTGGATTAAACGCAGCATTCTGCAGATGTTTCGATACTTCTGGGGAATTCTGTTACAGGATGCTGACTTGTTTTAGGAAATTGTTCTGAGGTTTGTTCCTTGGAGAATGCATTTGGGGAAGATTTTGTTTTGGTGTAGCATGGGGCCCAAATGCCACTGGAATAAACTCAGGGCTTTCAAATTTGCCTCAGTTTAATATGTTTTTCCAGTTTTTGCAGAACACTTTATAACTGTTTTTTTAATGGGTGAAAAATGACTTCTTGGGCTGATGCAGGTCATGGAAAATCGAAAGCCAAAGCTCTAAGATATTTTAAATTTCCACCTCTTATTTCAGAGGAAAACCTTTCAGATTTAACTAGAGGGTATCAGTTTTCACATTAATTTACTAATTTTTTATATGTGTGTACTTCAGATTGAGGGATTTCTGTGACAAGCTACGTAAACCACAAAAGTTTTATATTCTGATGAATAAGCTGGCCTGTTGTGGAAGAGATGATGAAGATCTTGGCTAGCAGAACACATAGTCTGTTTTTACCATTTCAGTTTAAGTAGGCTTCATTGTAAGTGGAGCTTAGGATGAAGTTGGCTACTACTCATTTTTGTCTGGCACAGATCATAGAATCTCTCTTTTGAAAGTGGAGACACTTGACTTTTGCCAGAAATGTTTTTCTTAGCTATTTAAATTTTCATTCTCTTTTCTTTAATTCTTAATTATTTTTTGAAGGTCTATGTGCAGACATGGAGCACTCCGAATCTGACTATGACCATCACACGAGATGAGTATCCAGACTACCCTATGGTGCTCCGAGGAATTAACCAGAAGGCCGCTTTCTCGCAGTACCAGCCCGTGATCATGCTGGAGAAGGGCTACACCATCCACTGGAATGGGCCAGCACCCAAGACTGCTTTTCTATACCTCATAAACTTCAACAAGTATGCTTCTGTTACTGTTATTTCAAATAGTTGAGCAAATATAATTTAGTAGAGAAAAATAATAACCTATCTCCTTTGTAGCAAGTAAAGAATGCCGTGTTTATGTACTCTGTTCCCCTTGTGGAAGGCTATATATGTTATATTGATGGAATTAAGGGATTGTATAGCTTGAATCCTCTCCTTTTAAAAGCATGTATTTTTCTCTATGGCCAAGGTATTGTGTGCAGAAAGCCATTTAACAGTAGGATTTTTTTTTTTTTTTTTGCTGTGCCACGTGGCTTGTATGTGGAAATGTGGGATCTTAGTTCCCCGGCCAGGGACCGAACCTGGGCCCTCAGCAGTGAGAGAGCCAATCTTAACCACTGGTCTGGCGGAGAATTCCCCAACAGTAGGTTTTAATACTGTATGCTGAATACTTTAATTCTCCATAGCTGGGATGGGAAGACATTTTTATCTGGTGTTCCAGCTGAGCACTTGGTTACCTAGAAAGTAAAAAGGTTTTTGAGGCCAAGTTTAGACTTGACAGAAGAGAGTGGTATGATTGATTATTCATGTCAGCAGTGGGCATGGAGTGGAAAATTGTGGCATGAATGCCAGGTATTTTGCACCTCTGCCTGTATGTGAAGTCATCTTTCTGTTCCCTCTTGACTTCTCAATTGTCTGCTCTCATAATATTACTTTTAATCAAGACCTCTGTTTTTACATTAATTTACTTACATGTTTACTGTGTGCCAGTTGGTACAAGGATGACCGAGAGAAATACTTGTCCTTTAGGAGCTCACTGTATAGAGGTAGAACAAAATTTAAGTAAATAAGCCAGTAGTGTTTTTTAATGGACAAAGGATAAGAGCAATTATTCTGCATAAGGGAGCTGGGCCAGGCTGCACTGAGGAAGTGACAGTAGTAAGTGATCATTTTGTTACAAAAGCAGCAGAGTCCAAAAAGGTCTAATTCTGCTCAAAGACTGATGTATTGATTGCCGTGGGAGCCTAGGTCAGGGAAGTGACAGAGATGAGACTAGAAACCAGAGCTGGGACTATCTAGATACGTGTGGTGGTTAAACCATGGGACTCCATGAAACTGCTCAGATATGTCCCTGAAAAATTGAAATGGTTTGTTCACCTGATTGGTCATAAACCTTGACTTGTCAGAACTCTCTTAAAGTCCTAACTGAAATGAACAGAGGTGGACATAGCTCATATAGGAATTCGCCTCCAAGTAGGCCACTTTCAAGAATGGCTGAACATATGGTAGATGATCTTATTCTGAGATGTTAGGCCTCTGGCATATGCTCTAAACTGAACCATTACTGTTTTCCTGTAATACTTGTTGCTGTCAAAGGACACCTTCACTTACTGAGTCAACCAAGTCAAAAAAAGAAAACAAACTCAGGACTCATCTTTGGCTCTTTCTTCTCTCTCATTTCTCCATCCTATTAGTGGCCAAGCCCGGTTGGTCCTGTCTCCTTAATATTGTTCAAATGTCTTCACTCTTGCCACCCTCACTGCTTATGACTAAGTCATTATCATCTCACCTAGACCCCTGCAGCAGCCTCCTACTCGGTCTTCCCACCTCCCCCGACTTCCAGTCCTTGGCCCACATTGTGTCCAGGGTGTAGTCCATTTTAAAAGTCAGTCTGATCATATCACTCCCGTCTATGAGTGATCTAGAAGTCAATGAAAGAACAAATGATTGTCAGAGAGGGTGGGGGAGACATGCCAAAGAGTGATCAGCAGTCCAAAAAGTTATAGCTGGTAGGTTGTGAACCTGAGGGTGAGATATTACAGTCAAAAGGTAAACAGCGTTCTGTACTTATCAGGCATAATTTTTTGAATAAATACTGAGCAAGTAAAAAACATTTTAAAGTGAAAAAAGAGCTGAGTCAGAAGTTTCAGAACTCCATATGGGCTTGAAATTCAGTCAGACTTTCCTTGTTTAATCATCTAAAGTTTGTAAAAATTGTATCATGGGCAGAGGCAAGAGGAGGAGATGGTAAGTTTTTTTCCCCATGTTTAAGATAATTATAGCGAGATCATGGATTTTGTCATAGTAGCACTTTTGAAAATAACAGTTAAAAAAAAAAAAGAAAAGAACAGTTTAAAAGTTATAAATCTATACTTATTGCACAAACTAAGAAAATGCAGAAAAACAAAGAGAAAATTACAATAACCTATAATTCTTCTAATCAAAGTAAGGCATTGTAAATGTGTATAGGGTTCTGGTCTCTCTCCACCCTCAAAGGTTCTCTGAGCATATCTTATACCAAAATGTATTTAACTATTCCATTCCCCCATGAACGTTTAGATTGTTTTTCTCCTGTCCCTCCTCCCATTTTGGTATTACAAATGATACTGAATAGAATACTTCTTATTTATTTTTGGTCTGTGTTTCTAATTCTTTAGTGGGATTACTGGATGAAATTTGTGTGAACAGTTTTAAACCCTCGTTACGTATTGTTTTAAAATTCTTTAGAATGATTAAAAAGTTCTGGAAATGAAGAGTGGTGATGGTTGTACAACCTTGTGAATGTATGTAATGCCACTAAACTGTAAAGTTAAAAATGTCTAACATGGTAGATTTTGTATTTTACCACAATTTAAAGAACATCAGAAAAAAGCAAATGATAAAAAAAGGAGAAATATTTTTAATGGTTTTTGAAGAGTATTAATTTTATATCCAAGAACATTAGGTAAGAAAAAACACTATTGCAATTTGGTAATATTATCAAAGACTTAAAAAATGCATATACCTTTATCTCTAGCAATTTTAGGTCTTCCCCGGTGGCTCAGTGGGAAAGAATCTGCCTGCCAAGCCGGAAATGTGGGTTTGATCCCTGGGTTGGGAAGATCCTCTGGAGAAGGAAATGGCAACCCACTCCAGTATTCTTGCCTGCAAAATCCCACGGACTGAGGAGCTTGGTGGGTTACGGATACAACTTAGTGACTGAACAACAACAACAACAGCAACTGGCAATTTTCCACTAGGAATTTATCCTAGTGTTATTATAAAAGATAAAAATATATTTATGAATAAAAAAATCCTTTGGAAAACTTTTAGCAGTGTACATTTCCACAATCAGGCTATTAGTGTTTATTCCATCTTAGTGTACCCATTCCCAACAGTCTCATTTAATTTTATTATCTGCTTACAGTATCTGGTACATTTTATCCAATGTCTGTTCACATTCTTTGAAGTCTTGTTGCAAACAAGATTTTTGCAAGTCATATCATTGTTGTAAATATACGATGAGAGAAATCTGGGTAACATGGAAAAGTGGATAACTTAAGTGTGTTAGGGTTCAGGACTTTCATTGTTTGTGGCTCCCTACACAGTAGAAATTTAAGGAGGAGAAGATCATGGCTAAAATTTACATTTGCTGTAATACTCAAAAGATGTTGGCTAAAATGTGGACTTGTGTTTTTATTGTCTCTCCTTTGTAGGAATGACTGGATTCGAGTTGGTCTCTGCTATCCATCAAACACAAGTTTTCAGGTTACCTTTGGCTTTTTACAGCGGCATAATGGCTCGTTATCCAGAATGGAGGAGTATGAGGCTGTGCATTCATTGGAGGAATTGCAGAAGAAGCAGTCTGAGAGGAAATTCTATTTTGACTCCAGCACCGGGTAATTCAGGGCAACCAGTGAACGAACATTTTTGCTGTTTTTCCTTAATGGTGAAATTACTAGTTGTTCAGTGTAACTAAGAATAGACTGTGATGTGACGGCTAGTTAGAAAAGCAGCTGATGTGGGTAATTCTCTGCTCATCACCATTAGAGGTTTAAGGAGAACTAGAATGACTCATAATTACAGTTGGCAGTAGGAATCGAGTGAGATGTTTGCCGTATACCTATTAAGGCAATTTAGAGAGAGAAATTTTCCTTGTCAATAAAGAACCAGTAGGCCCAATTGAAAATTAAAATAATGTTTTCCATAACAACTCTAAAGATGATTATTTCCTTATGATATAGTTCATATTTTAACGAAAGCTCATTTTTCTCTTCCTTTAAGGCTATCTCTCAAGTTGACCTTGGGTTTAAAAAAAAAACAATAAAAAACACTGTGTAACCATGGCGTATTTGCTGTCAACTTTCTCTAGGCTGCATCTTTCCACTTTTTAATTCTAATCCTGTTCACCTGGGGTCCTGTTGGCTTTGTCTGCTTTTATCCAGTTACAGTCTCTCAGCCTTTGGGTTATGGTAGGCTTGATCTCCTGTACGCTTCCAGAAAGTAGCATGCTCCTCCAATATCCATTCTTTAAGCTGACATTTCTACTCCACGCCATTGTCTAGGTACTATAAAGATACTCATGTAAATAAGATGCATTTCTTCTGCAAATTCACTGTCCATTGAAGGATGTGGGCATGTAAAGCAAGTAATTAGAGGGTGAAAGGTTTAAATGCTGTAAGTCCTATAGTAAATGCTGTAAGTGCCTTTTGAGATAATCCTTGAGTTCAGCCTTAGGTGGTCAGTGACAACGCACGAGGGTGACGCTGAGGCTAACTCTTGAGGAGTGATAGGAGGAGACGAGTAAGGGTTCCAAGAACAGTGTGGATAAATGCATGGAGGCATGAAAAACATGGCATGGCGTGTTTGGGGAAAGACGACATTTTGGACTAAAGAGAAGGGTGGCAGGACTGACTGTGGGGAAATGAGGTTGGTCACTTGATTTCCTTGTTAGCCTTTGGGTAAGAAGCAACTCATTTGCCCTCCAGGGCTGGTGCAGCAGCCAGTGTGATTAGCTTCTGATTAACCTGTAAAAACCTAGTTGGACTTTTATTCTATAGATGACAGAACAGCCACATTCCCAGTTGATTTTCTGCAAAAATAAATGTAAGGCCCAAATTTTTAAGGACAGTCTGGTGTTCACAAATTAATGATTGATATGCACAATGACAGGAAATATTGCTTCATCTGGGTATTTCTAGAACCTTCCAGCCTTCGAGGTTCAAATTCTTTTTAATTCTGTTCATTTTGATGATTTTAATTATATATCAAAAGGCACCTGCCTAATTAGATCCCTGTCATTCCTTATGTATATGTTAAAATTACTAGATGTTGGAACAGTGGCTGATTTTCACCTCATAATCTCAACTTTGTATTGTTTGTTGACCTCATTTTATTTTATTTTTATTTATTTATTTTTTGACCTCATTTTAAAATATGAACTCGTGAATTCCAGTAATCAATCACAGTTGATCAAGTCATTTTTGGAATCTTGACTTCCTTTGGTTTAGAAGGCCTAGGTTTGCTGACAAGATATTGGACTGCTGCCTGGAAGTTGCTTTTCCATTCATTTTGGAGGAGAATTCAGAATGGGTGGGACTGATCATTTCACTTGATTTTGGCCAAAGTATAGACAGAAGGACTCCAGGCCCATCTGCTCTTAGTATACATCGCAGGAATTGATTTCAGACTATATCTTGGCCTTAAACAAACAAGTCTCAAAGTTGCTGTTTTTATCATTCCAGTTTTGTGCCTTAAAACAAAATAATGTATAAACTAAAAGAAAAAGAAAGAATAAACCACCTTAATTTACCAAATCCTAAACTCAACATAAGTATCAAGTTTTCCAAGGAGTTTTTGAGCCAAGCCAAATTTCATCTTCCCAAATTACCTATTGAGGTTATTCAAACCAGAAATTTACTTTGATACTGTCCTTAATGACTGAATCAGATTTTCATGATATTTTCTAAAGTGGTATTGTGTTTGACTTAGAACCCTATGAGGACAGAAAGGAAAGAGAAACAACTTTATTACTTTTAGAAGTTATTTTTCTTTTAAGAAAAAAATTACTTTATTGGAGGAATATCCCCGCTGGCCGTGAGTTAACTTGAGGAACTTTTGTAAGTTTTTGAAAGTGAAAATCTAATACCCTTTGGACTGGTCTGTTTTGTGCAGGTTGCTGTTTCTGTATCTTAAAGCCCAAAGCCACAGGGATGGTCACAGTTACTGTTCATCTCAGGGATGCGAACGAGTCAAGATCCAGGCAGCAACAGACTCAAAAGACATCAGTAACTGCATGGCCAAAGCGTATCCCCAGTATTACAGAAAGCCATCAGCCCTCAGGTCGATGCCATCCATGCTCAAGGGACTCTGTCAAGGCTGTGGAACCCGTCAGGTAAAACAAGGAATAAAAGTGAGCTTTGGTCCAAGAGAAAACGTCAAAAGGTTCTGTGCAGTCAGCACATTTTTTTTTTCTCCCTGAAACATCTGTGCTGCCCATTTATTTTATTTTTTTAAGTTTATTTTTAATTGGAGGATAATTGTTCTACAGTATTGTGTTGGTTTCTGCCATACATCGGCGTGAATCAGCCATAGGTATACACATGTCTCCTTCCTCCTGAAACTCCCTGCCACCTTCCACCCCATTCTCATCCCTCTAGGTTGTCACAAGCACCTGATTTGAGCTACCTACATTATGTAGCAAATTCCCACTGGCTATCTAATGTATGGTAATTTATGTTGCCATCTTACTGTCTATTTGTCCTCCTCCCCCCACAGTGTCCACAAATCTGTCTTCTATGTCTGCATCTCTCTTGTTGTCTGCAGATGGATTCATCAATACCATCTTTCCAGATTCCTTATATATGCGTTAATATACAATATTTGTTTTTCTCTTTCTGACTTCATTCTGTATAATGGGCTGTAGAACCGACTCAAATGCATTCCTTTTTATGACTAATATTCCATTGTGTATATGTACCACAGCTTCTTTATCCATTCATGTCAATGGACATGTAGGTTGCTTCCATGTCCTAGTTACTGTAAATAGTGCTGCAGTGAACATTGTGGTACATGTGTCTTTTTCAGTTATGGTTTCCTCAGGGTATATGCCCAGTAGCGGAATTGTTGGGTCATGTGGTAGTTTTATTTCTAGTTTTGTAAGGAACCTGCATACTGTTCTTCATAGTGGCTGTATCAGTTTACATTCTCACCAGCAGTGCAAGCACCAGAGCTTCCTTTGTGGCTGAGATCTTAAAACATCCGCCTGCAATGCGGGAGACCTTGGTTTGATCCCTGGATAGGGAAGATCCCCTGGAGGAGGGCATGGCAACCCACTCCAGTCTTCTTGCCTGGAGAATCCCCATGGACAGAGAAGCCTGGCGGGCTACAGTCCATGGGGTTGCAAAGAGTTGGACACGACTGAGTGGCTAAGCACAGCACAATAATGCAAGAGGACTCCCTTTTTTCCACACCCTCTCCAGCATTTATTGTTTGTAAATTTTTTGATGATGTTTGCTGCCAGTTTATAAATATTGAATAGTTTCTTCTGAATTTTGGCCCACTCTAGAATTTGGTCATCATAAGAAGCAAACCAGTCCAAATTTATAATAAAGTCAGTCAAAATTTATTTAAACATCAGTTTGCCCTGGGTCATTGTCGATTTATTGGTTGTCATCTTTTCTTTCTCAGCTGTGATTCCATTACATTATCACTATTATGTATACATGTCAGTGATGTGGAAATATAATCTGTTTTCTTGGCAGTGTGAAATTTGTCTTCAGAAAAGGCACTCATGAAAATTGTTTCCTTTAAGATGAAAAACTATTAATTTGAAGCAAATGCTATTATGTTTACCTGTAATTAAAAGTACAAACTGACTTTGGCTAGAAGTGAAATGCTTCCTGTGACATATTCATAATGAGACAGTCTTCTAGATCTTGAGAAAACATGGCAGTGGAAGTGGATCCAAAGTATGAGCTAAAATCGGGCATGGAAAATCCCATAGGAAGTCACACTGATTCCAGGAGAAAAAGAAGTACCGAATCAATATTGCCCTAATTAATATTTAACCTGTATATAAACAAATATGGGTCAAGAGGAATGGTTCTCAACTTGTGGTCCCCAGACCAGCAGCATCAGCTTCATCTGGGAACTTGTGAAAACATTCTAACTCTTGGGTCCCACCCAGTCCTATCCAATCAGAAACTTCAGGAGTGGGGCTTGTAGTCTTTGCTTCAACAGGCCCTATAGGTTATTCTGATAAGTGTTCACATTTTAGTTTCACGGGCCTGGAGGATTTTTCAAAAAAGTTCTTACTGCCACAGAAATGCATACTGTAATAAGATTGAGAAAACCTCTAAATATTTCTTTTTATTTCTTATTTCTAATTTTTCTTGTTTCTGTCCATTGGTGGCAATAAGAACAGGGAAAGGAAGGGGGATTTATGCTTCCTGTTGTGATATATGATGATTATTTTTCTGATGACAACTCACTATCACAGTCTTGGTCTCTTATACCTGTGAGTCACCTCAATACTCCAGTTCAACTAAACTAACCAACAGACCAAAAAACAAACCAGGTACATAAATAAGCTTATATGAATCTTTGCCTGTCCTATGTAATGTTTTGACTGTTAAAGTGAAATTGTCAGATAATCTTTGTGGAGAAGTAAATTTTCCAGCCTAATTCTCAAGTTGAATTTGTTAAGAAAGTCCTTCGTTACTGAGAAGACTTCAAATAATTTATACTTATTATAAGAAATACTAGAATTTGTAAAGATAATTTAATCATCTTCAAAACTATTCTAGGCCTGTCTTGTTAAGTGGTTCCATGTATTGATGTCTAGCATTCTCTAATTCACTTGAAACAGATATTCAGCTTCTGGATGCTTAACATCGTGATTATCTGCTCTTACCATGATTATTGGTTCTTGTTGGCATTGATTTATAAGAATATACATATATATATATATATATATATATATTTTTTTTTTTTTTTTTCTTTGACCACACCACATGGCTTGTGGGATCTTAGTTCCCTGACTAGGAATTGAACTCAGTCCATGGTAGTAAAAGTACTAAGTCCTACCCACTGGACTTCCAGGGAATTCTTCAGTACAAATACTTTCAAGTGTTAAATTGTGTGAAGAGTTGAGTGCTTTTGATTGAGAAGATAGCCTTTAGGGAGGAGGTAGATGGTGGGATTTTGAGGGTGGAAGTGGTTTGAAGTAGAGGGGAAAATGGAAGGGTGTTCTTGGGGAAGGAACAGCATCTGCAAAGGCAAGTGGCAGAAGAGTGGGAAACTGAGGGGACTGCCCTGCATGTTGGATGTGGGTAGAATAGTGGGAAATAGAACAGAATAGTGGCTCTATTTGTGGAACATTTTGCAGGTCAGGTAGAGCAATTTAAATAAAATTGGTGGTGTACAAGGGCCCTAAAAGTTTTTAAACAGAGTCATCCTTGTCATCTATACTTCTTTCCTCAGTTCTGGAGTGACTGAATCACAGTTAAGGATAACTGGTCTGAAAATAGCCTTCGAAAAGATTTGTGACTTCTTTGCATGAAATGTTTACAAAGATTTAGATATAAAGCATATTTATATAGTCATTTAGAGAGCTGATCTTATTAACAAGATTACAATGACTTGAAACTGGGATTGCTCTAGAAAATGAGGAACGTACTATTTTCCTATTAAAGCTTATATCAAAAAATAAAATTCCGGGTCATGAAATATGTACAGAAAGTTCAGAGAAAAAAAAAAACAAAAAAACCATTCACTGGCTTTGATATAGTTGAGTTTATTTTGAAGGGTCTTTTTGGAAGGTTGACATAGATACGGAACTTCTTCCCCATGTAGGCGGTGTTTACAAGTGATCCTCATACAAACTACCTCCCTGTGCAGTTCCGGTCACCCAGTCAAGCAGAGACTCAGCGTGGAGACGTGTCTGTTATTTCTGTGAGTACCATCTGCTGTGTACACTGCCTCAGCTTTTCACTTTTTCATTCTATCCTGGTAACATGAATTATCTCTGACAACATTCACTTGTTTCTAGTCACATTTTTATTATTGGTAGTGAGCTATACAACAGAGGCATAAATACTCCTAAACATATGTATTTTTAAATAAATGAAATTTATTGAAAATTTTTTTCTCAGTTAAGTTTATTGATTACTTTTAGGCAAATGTTAAAATTATTCAGGTGACCCAGATTCCTTTTCTATAGGAGAAAAGGTATTTTTGGTTTAAAAAATTGTCGTTGGTAATCAATATGTAGACAATTGTGTTTAACCTCAGTTTTTGAAACTTAAAAGAAGCTCCCCAGTTATTTGCTTAAAATATGGAAGGTGAAAGTTTTAAAATCTCCTCAGCCTCTTGTTTTGAGATAGCTTGGCTCCCAGTTTTTCAGATGAGGAAAGTGACAATGCAAAGTGTTAGTTGTCTTTAAGTAGGTTAATGGAAGTATAAGCGTTAGCCTGAGTGTCAATATTGGAATTTGGCCTAAGAGCCAAGTTCACTAGGAGTGAAAGTGAAAAGTCACTCAGTCATATCCGACTCTTCGGGACCCCATGGGCTATACAGTCCATGGAATTCTCCAGGCCAGAATGCTGGAGTGGGTAGCCGTTCCCTTCTTGAGGGAATCTTCCCAATCCAGGGATCGAACCCAGGTCTCCCGCATTGCAGGCGGATTCTTTACCAGCTGAGCCACCAGGGGAGCCCAAGAATACTGGAGTGGGTAGCCTATCCCTTCTCCAACAGATCTTTGCAACCCAGGAATTGAAACGGTGTCTCCTTCATTGTAGGCGGATTCTTTACCAACTGAGCTATCAGGGAAGCCTACTGTTGGCATGTGGCCTGTCCAAAACTGAGTTGACCGGAGTGCATCTATATAAAGGGCTCTTTGGGTAGGAGGTATCTAGCCAACTGATGCCCAGCCAGGGCCTGGGCTCAGTCTCATGTGGTCTCTTTGGGAGCTTTTTTTTATTTAAGTGGTGGACAACATATTTACAAATTCATATATATGTGAACAAACTTAAATCTTGTTTTTTACCCTCTCTCAATGTCTTTCATTGTGTTAAAGTACACATAACATAAAATTCACCATCCTAACCATTTTTAAGTATATAATTCAGTGGTATGAAATACATTCATAATATTGTGTGGCCATCACTATTATCCACCTCCAGAACTTAACTCTGAATTAAGAATTTTTTAATAATTCTGAATTAAAAATATGCCTACGTAAGGTGGGGAGGGAATGCAGAATTATTAATCAACAGGCATAAAGTTTCAGTTGAGTAAAATACATAAACTCTCAAAATCTGCTTTAGAGCATTTTCCCTGTAATCAGTAATAATATATTGTTTACTTAAAATGTTTAAGAGGATGGATTTCATGTTAGTGTTTTACCACAATTAGAAAGAAAGGAAGGAAGGAAGGAAGGAAAAGAAAGACCCCTACTTAAATATAACTCCAAGGTTTCTCACGTATATATACCTATTGCTCTGTGTTAGCATGTTTTCATTTTGTAGTATGTTCATGATGTAGTTTTATTGGTAGGAAGTTTGCTCAACATCTCAATGAAGTCAGCAGTGTGAGGAACCCATCCCAGCCTCCTTGTGTGGGATCTGGTAGGTGTCAGTTGCAAAGGGATGCAATTGGGTGCTGAGTCTCTGCTCTACTAGCTTACTAGGTAATTAAACGAGATATTGTATTGCCCAGACAATCTCAGATAGGGGATTCCTCTGGGTCTGCAGACATTGTTTGACTCCATTGCTGGAGTCACTGTGTGCCTGGGGCCATAAAAAGGTCACAGAGGACTGTGTTTTGTCATGTTTACCTCTAATACTTTTTACATGTATTACCTGAAAAGTCCTTGCTGGATGTCTCCTTGCTTTAGTTTTTATGGAAAATTTTGTGTTTCTTTTAAGCAGCAGGTTTTTGGAGGTACTTTTCAAGTGGACAGTTTGTGTTAAAGATCATGTCTTTTTTTTTTTTTTTAATCAAATGTGTCTCAGTTCTAAGTATTCAGATTTTGAAAAATGAGTCACTTTCAGCCTTTCTAAATATAGAATGGCACTATATATTAAGCACTTCTAGAATTATTCTCTGGACTAGAGCAGTTTAAATATAGGCAAAAAGCCATTTTGAATTCCTGTGAGATCATTAGTGATTAGAAATAAAATTTAAGTATAACTTCTCCAAATGAGGACAGGTGTAATGAAGAGAGTATCTCTTTGTTAATTTTTAACATAGTTTATAATTTTACACATTTTAAAGAGAAAACAGTGCCTATGGCCTAGTGTTAAATCATTTTTCAGTCAAGAGTTTTTTCTTTCCTTTTTTGGTTGAGGAATTTATGAGATTTGGATATATCTGGAATTCCTTTTTCTTGAAAATGTCTTGAGCCATTAATTTAAGGAGAACGACTGGAACTTTCAGTTCACAGTAATTGTTTGAACAAGATATCACTACCCTGTGGCTTAAATCCTGGTAAAATTTCCTGTTTTCCATTTTGATTTTAAAGGAGAGCTATATATGGAACAAAGCAGATGAAACTATCTGCCTCTGCTGATGTTTCAAGCCTAAACTCTAATGGGGCAGGAGTTTATGTGGGTTAAGGAATTCTATCTCTCTCCTTACCTACCTATATGACTAGATACCTGTTGTATGTAGTTATGTATTTTTGTCCTGAACTAATGTGACAACATCTGAGCTGTAGTATAGAGGCTGTCACCTACCTGATCGCTGAGTTGGAAACTGACCCCAGTGAGAGAGTGTGTGTATTCTGAACCTGCAGAATCACCTTACTCAGCTGAGTGCAGGCTGCCATGTCTTGCTTAGAGCATCTTATCCAATCAGTAAAGACCAGTCAAGGTAAAAGCCTATGGAAACACAGACTCACTTTCAAATGTTGGCAGAGGAAGAGTGATGGAACATGCCGTTTGCATTTTGGAATAATTATTTTTGATTCATGGGTTTAGAAGACAGAGCGAAAGGGGCTGGAAAGATACTGAAATGGGGATGACCGCAGAGGACGATCTTGTATTCTCAGATCAACGGCACCGACTTTCCCTTCCGAAGTGTGGGCATCCTCCTCCTGGTTGTGGATGCCTGCAGTGTTCCCTTCCGGTTGACAGAAAAAAAGGTTTTCTCTTTCACTGATGTCAGTCGCATGGAAGAATATTTAAAAACAAGCATCCCTCCAAGGTAGGTGAAACTTGCCCGGGATAAGGGATAAGGTACCTTAAAGATGACACCTGGCTAATTCTAAGCTTTGGCTTGTCTACTTTCATTTTTACTCTGGGTATTTAGGATTCTTGAAGGATACTCATTCCTTCCCAGTTTCAGGTTGATGCTTGTGTGATCTAAGTTGGTTATCATTGATAAGTGAGGACTTGGATGTTAGAAGAGTTTGCAGATGATGGGAAGGCTCTTGGAAGGAGAAAAGCTCACCGTTTTGAATCATTCCTATCCCACCTCTTAGTATTAAGCTGATCTGCATTGTACGCAACTCTCTCAGAAGGTTCATTATCATTTTAAAACAATTTTATTGAGTTTCACCTTTGTAACAGTCTATCCTGCTGATGAACCCTTGGACAGCATTGTGCTACGACTCTGGTATAGGAAGTTGTCACCTGGGTCACTTGGAATTGACTGGAAAGGACTAAATTGATTTTTTAAGTGGATGAGTGTGTGATCTCTTTTTTTAAGAGCCCTAGCATGATTCATTTTTCTTTGTTAGTGTCAGAACAAAGGTGCACAGGCGAGAAACTTTGCTGTATTTGTGTTGGGCAGACCCTGACTAGAGGCAAGAAGATAAATTCAGTCCCCTTTCTGCCCCCTCTGCCTTGCTACGGACATTGATTTACACACAGGCTTTCATTTAATGAAGCCCCAAAAGGAGGAACATAGGTTTCCCAGGGAGCAAAGTCCTATGTAGCTTCTGAATCATCATGAACTAATTTGGTCACTTACGCTCCTTAAACTTAAAAGAACCAGATCTCAACAAGTCCCGTAGAGTCGTTATATTCTTTGAGTGTAACATTCTTTGTGTACATACAGCTCTATCTTCTGGTTTAATACATTTGTAGGTATTTACTTTGCAAGGCCTCAATTTTCTTTATGTATCTAAAGATTTTTTTCCTAATGTTGGAAAATAAACACACTCAGTCACTTCACCTAAAACAATCTGGAACATAGAGCTCACCACAGATGTCGTCATGCAAGGCACCCAATATATTAAGAAAAGAAATGCTTTATTAAAGGATATATGACAAGAGTAAAAGGAAAGGCTCTCCCTGCTTCTGGATGGAAAAGTTAATACTGTAAAGAACTTACTGTATCTAACTTAAAATTTAAATCTAATACATTTCTGTTAGTGCCTCAGTAGGTTACTTTTCTATTGTATTTGACAGTTGATGATGAAGTTCATCTGGAAAAATAAATAAGGGAGTCATAGAACATTTTAAAACTAATTACAGTAATACAAGGGGCTTATTTTATCAGATATTAAAATAAACCATAAAGTGAAAGTCACTCAATCATGTCCAACTCTTTGTGACCCCATGGACTATACACTCCATGGAATTCTCCAGGCCAGAATACTGGAGTGGGTAACTGTTCCCTTCTCCAGGGGATCTTCCCAACCCAGGGATCAAACCCACATTGCAGGTGGATTCTTTACCAGCTGAGCCATCAGGGAAGTCTAAGCCATAAAGCCATAGTAATTAAACTGTGTAGTGGTGGCAAAGGAGAGAGAGATCAGAAGAGACAGTCCACAAACAGATCTGATTGTATGTATTGATATACTCATAATAAAAGTAGCAATTTAAACCAAGCCATGGGAAACATTTTCTTTCTTTCTTTTTTTTTAAGGATTGGCGTTTATCCATTTAGTTAGTAAATGGATAGTAGAACATAAGTAGGTGTATAGAACGTCTGAAACAAACACTACCAACCTCTTCTGTTAAAATAGTTTGCTCCATGAAAGAGCTGTGTCCCAAGGCATCCACTAGGTCAACTGATGTAAATGACTTTATATCATAGTTTTCCCTATATTTAGAGACCTCCTTGTAATAGAAACGTTAAGTTCTAGGTGCAGAATTGAAGTAGACCCTTGTAACAGCAAGGATGAAAAGGCATGTGAAGTGCTTTTTGTTTTTTGAGTTCTGCTTTTATCTAGTATTTACTTCAGAAAGGTACTCAGTAAACACATGCTGAATTATTGAAATTTGCTCTGATTTTCTAACTTTTACAGGTCAGTTGTTCTGTTGAGCACAAGGGGACAGATAAAGCAGTTGAATATTTCGGATTCATTAGTACCTCTGGGATTAGCCAAGCCAGCCAATCTTTATAATAAAGGTTTGTATCTGTATTCTTCCATAAAGTTTTTAGGAGAGCAGCAACATATGCATTTTTATGGTGGAGTGTTGCTACCAGCCTGCTTTCATGAGCTTGTTAGGCTGGGGTGGGTATTATGAAGATAATTTCTAAATCAGGAGACAGTGTTAGAGGAAGTGTGTTGGGATGTAGTTTGCTATTTGGGGCAGGAGGTGAGTGGTAAGAGTTCATTTTCTGACATAAGGAAGTATAGTTTTTTGTTGCTTTTTGTTTTGCTCACCTCCACCTCACCTTTCACATTATCTTGCCTGAAACTAGTAGAGATACACATTGAACTTTTTTTTTTTTTTTTTAAAGGGAGTACCATATTTTTGGGATTCAATGGAAGCTTTAAACCATCATGGACTAAGCTGTATACCAGCCCTGCTAGACAGGGCCTCGGGCTGCTTGAACAATTCATACCTTTGCAGCTGGACGAATATGGTTGTCACAGAGCTGGCACTATCCGCCGAAGAGACCTGGAGCTGTTGAAGCAAACTTCAAAGGCACATTAGAGACTTAACTGTAACTTAAGTGCTGGGGGATAAAAATGTGAACTAACTTATTTAATTTATGGCATTTTAAAATGACACTGTTAACCCAATGGAACCATTTTCCTGTTTGATGCAGAAAGGGGAGAAAAGTAAGAGTTTAAAGTGATTGCTTGAATACCAGCTCACGCACCTTCTAGTTGTACAAAATGTTAAAGAATTTATTTGTATTTGTTAGGCTGGTATATTTCAGAGATCAGTTCTCTTATCCCTCACGTCCCACTCCTGTGTTTTGTAGTGACCATAAACAGTGCTTCACCTTTTGTACAAAATGGGATGTTGTGAGGGAAGGGGAGCTTCTGAGAGTCAGCCTGAGTCCTTGAGAGGACCAGCTCTTGTAGCACCTTGGATACTTGAAGTCTAATGTTCACTTGTGTCGTTGACTTTGGGTCAGCAGTTGACCTGGGTGGCTGGCATGTTCAGGAATGCCTTGGGCCCTGATTCCAGGCAGCCTTTGAGGATTTTGTATGATACTGAATGATGGAGTTTTAAGTGGCAACTCAGGCCCAGCTCATGCCCTATTTTGCTTGGACATGTGCTATTTTTATTCATTTGTATATTGATTCCTTCTAAGGATTCAACTTTCAAACAGCAAGTATTATTGGGAAAAAAGGGCTTTTATGGGTTCGACATCCCTTTAATCTGTGACCATTGGGCAAAAATTGGACCTGCACCATGGTCTGATGTTGGTGGGACCATTTTTGCAGCTTTAATCCTTAGCCTGTTTGACTGTATATTTGTATTTAAAATGCAGAGCTGAGCTAAATATTTACATTTTTTAAGAAAAGAAGCAGGCCATTTTCCTGAACTATAAACTTGTGTCATTTCAGCTTGCACAAAGGAAGTCTGTTCTTGGAGTTGCTCCTGCACCCGTTTTTTAAATTTGTTTTTGTGTGTGGATTTTTTTAAAAGAGCTTCTCTGCTCACCAACCTGGCAGGACAATTGCAAACAACTTAATGGTACCCCGAAATATTGTACTCAGGGAGAGGAAAAACAGGAGAACCTTTTAAGGGCCAGAATCAAGGAGAGAATATTCAGAAACAAACCTCTTTTTAGCCTTAGAGGAGTCCATCACTCTTAAGGAAGTCGTTAGGAGCCCACTGAAAAAAAGGCACTGTGATGCCCTATTTTTCTTCCTACTGGGTGTGTGCGTCTCCTGCCAGTGAGGACTGCCTGTGGCTAAAGGAGATGGGTGCCACAGCCAGGATGTCACTACACCAAGAGGGAAGAGGTGTTGAAATGCTTTTATCTTTTCCTAAACCCACAATGCATGATGTGTAACGTGGGGATGGCCACAGCAAGGAATATGTTCAGGCTGACTTTGGCAATGAGTACAGACAAATTCACTCTTCTCTATCAAGAGCAACAGCTAACAGCCTGAAACTGCAGAGCAGCTCTGTGACTTTATTTCCATTACTTTACAAAATATGCTACCTCAAAGTGCTACCGATAAACCTTTCTAAATGTAAGTACTCTTGTTAAGAGTACATGTCTTAATCAAAGTTTAGGTTTTGGGGTGTTCTTTTTTGTACATTGATGAATGAAATCTTAGCTATTAAATATATTATTGGATCATGGTTCCTCAAGGTGATTAAAGTTTGTTTGTGTGTGTGTATTTTTTTTATGACAAATATCTTTTATGTGTGATTTTTAGAGTTTGGCTCTTTAAAGATTTGAAGAGGATATGTAAGTTCTAAAGCACTCAGTTTTTCTGATTTATATGCTAATGGTCAGGGCCCAATTTAAATAAAAATATGTGTGCATGTATTTTGTCATGTATGTGTGTGACTATCTATCTAGCAAGCAGTCTTTTTTTTTTTTTTTTCATTCCATATCCCATCTGTAAAGAAGCTATGGGCAGAAATAACGAAGAAATTTTCATCCACTAGGTAGATTTTGTAAGACTAAGTAACTTCAGAAGGCCGGTGCAGAGGTTTTCTTAACTTTGGCTGCACATTGGAGAAAGCTAGGGAGCTTTAAAACCTATGATGGTCTGGTCTGTTCCCTCTATTTCAGCTCCTGTTTCACATTTAATTGGTGTGGGGTGCAGCTTGGCCATTGGAATTTTTTTAAAAGCTCTCTGGGTTATACTAATAACATGTAGCCAGGATTAGGTATCACTGCACTAATATAATAGGCCCACTGTTTAGCTTCAGTCTATAATTTTTTGTGTGATAAAAAGGAAATTATAATTATCTATTTTTATTTGTGATTCCTATATTGCTTATGGAACTCCCAGCCCTAAACAAAACATTTTGCTATTGTCTGAACTTTCAGATAGCGTTTTTAGTCCTTAGTTTTCTCAAATTGTTAAATTGGTTATCAGAGCTGATATACACATTTCAGGCAATTGGGAGCTTGCAGTCTGTTTTATTTCTACTGGGAAAATGTGTTCAAAGGTGATTTATAAGTTCGTAAGCATTTTCCATCAGGTGAGGCAGTTGGTTGAGCTCCAGAAATGTGGCCGTCCACGAATTGGCCAGCTGATGAGAAACACAGGACCTTCTCATATGTCGACAGACTTGGGTTTTAAGTCTTTCCTGTGAGATTTCTCCCTCTCCACCTGAATCAGCATGCTGTATATTATCTTCAGAGGCTGGAAGAGAGTGTTTGTGAGAAGATGAAAGACAGGCTCATGGTCTTGTAGAACAGGACTCCAAAGCAGCCACTAAACTGATGTTTAGGTCTGAGGGTTGGGAGGAGGTTTTATGACTCCTCTGTTCTCCAGCTTCATCAGAAGAGAACATATCCTTGTGCCATTAGATGGAATATTTGGTTTGGAGGAGGGGTGGGCAATGAGGTGATGGATAGAGGCTTGAATGCTTCAGATAACTTCAGTTTTCATTCCTTAAGGGATGAGGTAATGTTTGGATAAGTCCAGTTGAAAGGCATTTCAGTAAGCAGGTATGCACTTAATTTAAGTGTGTGTTTTTTTTTAAGTTGGTTGTAGTAGGTTAAGTACTTAAATTCCATTGTGACAGTGTTTGTTGATTTCATGATGCGTAGTTGGAGTTTACCCTCCAGAATTCTTGTTTGCTTTCAGATACTTGTGAAATCAAGTTTAATAACCTGATAAATTCCCCTAGAAGTGAATACCATGAATGGGAGTTAATTGGGTAACAGATTTGTATATTTATGGTTAGTCTTAACTTAGTAATAATCCAGACTTTTAGAAATATGAGTGCACACTCTGGACTGGAGCTCATTTTCAACAAAATGGAGGGAAAAATTTAAGAAAAGGCATCGCCAGCCCCTTACTCACAAATAACAAAATCCTGTTTATTTCTTGCTGAACTCTTGGCATCATTTGTAAGATTGAAAGTTTTACTGACATTTATCTTCAATAAAGATAGAGAAGCTGAAAAAAGGGATGCTAGTTAGGCCTTGGTGTTGTAAGGAAAGGCACACAACACTTTGCTTTTATGTGATAAAATTACAGAATGACTGATTGAAATATGAAGATTTCTGAATGAGGAATTGTGCCCCACAGGGCCTCCAAAAATATCAGCCATAGCAATATATGAAAATGTTATTCCTGAAAATCCAACAAATAGGGGGTCAGAAAACAACTTCATAGATTCATTTAAAGTTTTTTTCCTAAGATGAACGTTGTAATTCATCTGGTTTTGCAAGGTAATAACAGATTTAAGATTCATCCTCAGAGAAGCTTAGACTTTTTCATCAAAATTGGTAAGCCAAGAACTGCAAAACTAACCTGTTGAACAAACCTGTCCCCTTGACTGGTTTTGTACTAATTTTGAGCTAAGAATGGTTTCATATGTTCAAATATAACACGTTAGAAAAAGTCAAAAGAAATATTTTATGATGTGAAATTATGTATAGATTATATTTTGGTGACCATTAATAAAGTCTTATTGGAGGACAGTCATGCTCATTTTGTTACATATTAACTGTAGCTTGCATATAGCAATGGCTTATTTGAGTAGTTGCCACAGAGACCATGGCCTGCAAAGCTGAAAATATTTACAGGCATGCCTTATTTTATTGTGCTTCACTTTATTGCATTTCCCATGTATGGGTTGTTTTTTTTTTTTTTTTTAACAAATTGAAGGTGTGTGGCAGTACTGCATGGAGCAACTCTATTGGAACCATTTTTCTAGTAGCATTTACTCACTTGGGTCTCACATTTTGGTAATTCTTGCAACATTTCTAACTTTTTCTAACAAATTATATTTGTTATGATCAGTGATCTTTGATGTTACCACTGCAGAAGAATTAGAGGACTCACTGAAGGCTCATGTTGATTAGCACTTTTTAGCAATAAAGTTTTTAAATTAATAAATGAACATAGTTTTAGACAATGCTGTTGCCCACTTAATATACTACAGTATAATGTAAACTTTTATATGCACTAGTAAAAAAATTTGTGTGACTTGCTTTATAGTGATACTGTTTTATCACAGTGATCTGGAACCAGACTGGAAGTATCTCTGAGGTATGTCTGAACTGTTTTCCTTTACTGAAAGAGTTTGCTGACCCTTGATCTTGGTGTAGAGTATACTGGTGTTCATTGTACTGTTCTTGGAATCTTCCTAAGGCTTGAGAAGTTTTAAAAGAAAATTAAGGGAAAAATCTTCATCAGAATCACCTGAGGTACTTGATGAACCTGCAAAATCCCAAGCTCCAACTCAGACTGGAGAATTGGCATTTCTGGGAATTGCAGCTGGAAATATAATTGTATAACAAGCTCCTCAGAGGATTTCTCTGGTGGTCCAGTGATTGAGACTGAGCTTCCAGTGCAGGGGGCACTGGTTCAATCCCTAGTTGAGGAACTGGAAACCCCACATACCGTGCAGCACAGCCAAAAAATTAAATATAATAGTAACAATAAAAACGAGCTCCCCAGGTGTTTCTTATGAGCACTAACATTTGAGAACCCCATAACAAGTAGTAAGCCCCTGTTATCATCGCTCTCTCTCTTTTTTCCTTTAATAGAGGATAT